TATTAAGACTTGAACAAAATAAAACAAAAAAATAAAAACAAAAGTCTTGTTTGTTTTTTAAGACTCCAGACGAGTCTGTTCTGTTAGGATCTGGATTCAGGCTCTAGCGCTCATCAGAATGGAGGCTGGAGAAAGATACAGAACTTCTTTGAGCACTCCTTTCCTAATTTGCAAAGCAGACCGTAAAATACTTTGAATTTTGTAAGTCTGTCTGCAGGATGTGTGCTCACACATACACACACACACACACACACACATCCCTGGAATGAGAGCAGGAATATAGTAAGAGCAAATGCCAGCTACGAACAGAACCATCCTCCCACTGGACACTTAGAAGGCGCACCTAAAAGGAATCATGACACCCACAGTGCAGGCTCCACCTGGCCTGTACTGCAGAAGAAATATAGCACGTCTTTCACATAAAGAAAAAGGCTCCCAAGGCTTTTTCTCCTGTGCTCTGAGCAGGCTGTTAGCACCCTGTCCGTCTGTGAGAGAGAAGAGCATTCCCACACAACATGGAAAAATGGGTCTCTGGAACTAGTTTGTAGACGGCTTTGAACTTGTTTAAATAACTCAACCCTCTTAAGAAATTACTATAATCCAGTTTAGTTTCTAATTGTTTTCTGAATTAAAAAGCCATAGAAAGGGCTGGGGATATGACTCAATGGTACAGAGCTTGCAAAACATTTGTAAGGGCTTGTATTCAGTCCTCAGCACTGAAAAACATATTAACAGAAAAGACACCATGCTGAACAGAATGACTATCTGTTTACCTTTCATGGCTCAGAGTCGAATTTTATCCTAACTCAGAGGATGACAGAAGTTAAGGTCACCATCCTCCAAAGGCAGCTGCTCAGAGCCTCCTTCTGGGAAGAGTCTGTATGTTTCCATTTGAGCAGTGACTCAAGGAAGCTGTTGGTGAAGACAGCACTGTGAACTGGGACGGGAAGGAACTGACCTTGTTGGGAATCTGTTGATAGTAACCTCTGCTTGTTTCCCACGGCAGCTGGAAGAGGGCCAGGCCCAAATTCCTGGGACCTCATTATCCTGCCACATACCTAGTATTCTCTACCACCCCTAGTCCTCTTTGTCCATGAACTTCTGTTGACAGCCACAGAGCAGCCAGAAGTGGAGCCAGGCACAAGGCTTGGTGGCTAAGCTGGAGGACAAACACCTTCCTTCCCTTCCCCTAGGGCAGGATACTTCTGGAATATGTTTTGTACAGTCTTCTGAGAGTCCCCAGTGGGGCCGAGTGCCAGGTGCTCATAGCACTAACCCGTTCAATCATACACTCACTGGCTGTGGTCTCTTCTCCATCACCTCCCTTGCTCCTTGATCGTGCTTCTTGGACTACCTCTTGAGTAACTACTTGCAATAAGTCCTTGTCTTGGGATTTGTTTCCAGAGGATTCCCAAGTCATTTGCTCTTTTAAGAGGGGCACTTCAGCTTTAGGATTCAGTTTCCCTTCCACATGGTGTCTGTTCCTTAACCTCTTGGTGATGACCTTGGCCCTGCAGAGACTGTCCTGGTTTTATGAATACTGCTCAGATGCTGAGAAGAGCTGTCACTTGGCTTGAGCAAGGAAGCACCGTCCTCACCATCTAACACTGGGGTGCTGCCTCTCCTACAGTAGGGCTGCTCCAAGTCTGCTGACCTTCCTCAAGTCAGTGGCTAAAGCTGCTTCAATGCTTTTTCCTGACCAGCAGGCTCACACTGACTCTGGTGTCTGTCTGTGCAGGCTTTCTCTATTCAAACTTTTCTGTACAACCAAGCCAACTGGAACAGAAGTGCCTATTACTGAAACATCAACAGTTTGGAGATGGAGCCTCTGCACACCATGGTTCATCTTATTCAGCTGAACACTTACAGCACCAAGATAGACCAGTTCATTCCCAAGGTAATAACACAGCACTAAAAGCTTCTTTCAGCTCACCGAGAATCTGTCCTAACCTCGATGAGCACTTCCCCCAAGCTATGTTGGAAGGCAAAATGGCAAGATGGTCTGGGTTTGAATTCGGGCTCCAACTGTATAGCCCGGGGTGAGTTAACTGACATTTCTTAGCCTTACTATAAAATGGGACAACAATCACATCTAAGACCAGGGCTGCTGAAAGGATGAAATGCCACTGCAGCACCTGGCACAGAGGAAGAGCAATAACTGCTATTAGAAATGGGAGTAGCAACTGCAGAGCTGTCCTTCCCATGATCCCTGCAAAACCAGGGGTGACACCTCCAAGTAACCTTTAGTCCTGTGATGAGTTTCCCTGGTTCTTCACATTCTCCAGCATGGGAGAGTACCATCAGCATCACCTTGAACTTCTGATTTTCCTACTCTACCTCCCAAGTACAGGAATTGCAAGTATGTCCCACACCTGATTGATGGGGGTACTGGCAGATTGAAATCAGGGCCTAATGCATGCTGGGAAGTACTCTAACAATGAGCTACATCCCTAAAGCCATCTTTTTATGATCTAGCCTTATTCCTTTGATCTAGCCTCTCTCCTCCATCAATGATTTCTTCTGCAATGGCTACCCTGACCCTGATTTCTCCAGGTTCATCCTGGCCAGCTTCACTCCTGTGATAGAATAATCTATGCATCTTCATCTGTTCCAACAAACATAGGTATGCACACAGGCACAAATTATCATTCTGGGAGGAAAGCTCAGTTCTTGAGCACAGAGCCTTAGTTCTGGGTTCCTGAATCTTGTGATACACTTGTCCAAGTTCATTTTCTGGTGTGTCCCACAATCTCTTTAGATTTCAGCCTCACTAGGCAATGACCTTCTAGGCTTCCCTGCTCCTACTACTTTACTGTTAGTGCTACCACTACCAACAGTGTCCACACATTGCCAAAGACCGCCGTCCTACTCATCCTTCAGTGCCCGGCAAGCACCATTTCCTCCACTAAGGCCTGTGCTGTGCACTGCAGAGAAGCAGTCTCATCTTCCTCCTGCATCTCAAGTTCATCCCCGTAACTAACTGGCACTTACTGCATACGACCCTGTGCCTCAGAAAGAACACTGCTTTGTGAGAAATATCTCGAGAACAAGAATTAAGACATTCTTGGAGAGGCCTACTGTGGCTTCTCAACAGAACAGTTACTCAGCGACTGTACTATGCATTAGAAAGTTCCAGACACCAGTGACTGGGCATGGAGACAAATTCCTATGACTATCTAAAGAACAGGAGCTTGGATTTCAATAAAACGTACAACATAATTCATAAGATAAGGACTTGTTCAAGAATTAGCATTTAATGAGGATTAACTAAGCCTTGATTTTGCTGCAGCGTGTTTACCTTTTAATTGATTAGATATCAAGAGAAAATTAGAAAAGACAAGATACAAGTTCCTCAAAATGTTAGCTAATTGATTTGTATTGCAGTCAATAGTCAAAGCTTTTGAGGAGATGACAGCTTTCCGTACAAAGAAAATACCCTGTTCTAATTATCAAGTGGGAACTCTATAACTACAGGCAAGGTAAGGAGTCGGTAGTGCAGATGGGGTTCAAACTCTCCATTTTACTTAAGTGTTATTGATACAGCCACACTAAGAATGTGCCCATCAGGAACAGTGGAGAAAGAACAAACTGGAATATGTCTATCAAGAACAGCAGAGAAAGAACAAACTGGTTTGGAGATTAAAAGTATGTCAATTATTTCCCGACCAAATGTCAAACAGAAACGTCGGTCTGGTCTGGAAGTCTATCACACCATACCACATTTGCCCAACATCTAATGGTGTATAAATCACTTATCATTAAAGGCCTTTTATATAGGTCAAGGTTGCTGGAGCTTGGTGTTTTGTATCTTACTGTTTAAAGAATACTCTAAATTCTAGCTTTTTAACTTTTTAATCTATGGGAAAAGAAAACTAAAACTTCCTGTAAACTCAGATTAATGCCTGCTAATGCAAGGAAGAAAGAAAAACTAAAACCTTCCTCCTACCATAAAAACAAAATAGTGTGGCCTCTGTTTCTTTTCTGATAAGAGTCTTAAATACCAAACAGTTAACTGCATAATAACATTCACTGGCAGCCAGGCAGCCTGCTTAGCAGATATATAAAGCAGGTAAAAGGAGAAAAAGTTAATTTCTTGGCTGAATGATTCCATCGGTAGCTATAGGGCAAACCTGAAAGTCTTTTAGTAAAGTAGCAGTTGATTCTTCTATCAATCTGTAGCACACATACTCTTCCAAGGAAAGCATTAAATATGAAAATCATATCCCGTTATCATCTGTTTCCAGCTTTCAGCCCAGTAAGCTTTTCTTAATGAATGCTGCAGCCTAAGGAACAAGCACGCTGTTGGCTTTTCTGAATAATGGAGTGATGCTACCATTTTTGCTTATTACAATATCGACTGGCTGAGGGGGTTTCACACATAGTCACAAGTGACTACTCTTGCCAGCATGCTCCAAGTTATTACAAGATGTTTTTAGACATTTCATCTAAAAGAGCTTTACTGCTTTTAGTGAAGAAAACATCTATGGTCTTGAGCAGAATCATTTATATGGAGATAGGCAGAAGGATTAGAAGCCTGTATTACGGCAGATACATAGCAGAATTTATTTAAGTATTCCTTGCCAGTCTTTTTGTCTATTGCTTAGATATGCAATCTTTTCTTTCCACTTTGTCTGTGAAAAGGTTCAAATGTACAAAATTATACATACAAAGGAAAGAATCAAAGCACCATACTTAGTTTATTTTCATTTAAAACATTTTTCAATCCAATAAAAAGTAGCTACAAAACACTAATGATGAAAATACAATTTTACTTTTTGCAACCCCAAGGTTTTCTTTGAAATCTTAGGTCCAAGTGACTACTTTTTGGCAAATTTAATTAAATTAGACATTAAAACAATAATTGTTGAAGCAAAATCTTTATATATAATCATAGTTCCATCAAAAAATTCTTATAGTAAGATGATTTTATTTAAAATCTCAACATATGAGCATTCTAAAAATTGTCTAGAAACATAAAATTCATTGCCTTACTGTGATACCTTTTCTCTGTCTTCATCTTTCATTCCCGGGCTGTCTTTTAACAGTAGGTGCATCTTCTTTATTTCAGCCTCATATTCAGTCTAAATATAAACAAAGTTTGATTTTATGGCAGATGCTATTACAAGTAAAAGACACCTATATCTTGCCATCTTTGCAACATAAAAGGAACAATGGAGTAGAAAGAAGCTAACGTTGCTGAGAAATTCAGCTTATCTTAGAAAACAGGCAATTTCACAAATAATATGTATCAAAAGTTGAACTCTATAAAATGTTACATACATTTTAAAGTAAAACAAGACAGTGGATTTTTAGTCTCCCGTCTTTTTATGGACTAAAACCTCAATCCTCAATACACACACCCCAAAAGCATTTTCTTTAAGCTATCATGAAAATCCAGTTACTTGATTATAAAAGTTAGATATTAGGTGTCTATTTTCAAAGCCTAAAAAAGAGAAAAATAAGTCCTACAGATTTGTTGTATTATTACATATTATATCTTATATTATCATGATCCTCAAAGTCACAGAAAATTCAATACATTATGTACTAGATCATCAATTTAAATCAGTTTTATTTTCTAGGAATAAGTTTATACTGTAGGCAGTCACCAGTACCATCAGAATCAAGTTTGCTCTGGCATCAGTAACTTCATCAAGAGGTCTGCATCATTACCCCACTATAACTGATGGAAATGATTCAATTCCAAAATGTCTTTCTCTAAAATGCACAGCATGAAGTACTTTGATTTAGTATATTCCTACTCAAAGCCTTAAAAGTGCTGATTGCAGTCCATCACAGATAAGTATCAGGATGTTTCTGAATTAAGCAGTTATACAACAGTTAGAACATACCTATGAGATAATGAATTAAAGGCTATTTCCTTAGCTCTCAGTCTGAACAAAAATAGGTCTGAAATTTGTTATGACGGACAAAAAAATGCATAAGCAATAATAACCCAAACTGAATATTTGCCTTAACATTTTTAAAGATATTATACATTTCCACCTTTTTAATAACACTTTTTCTTCTAACAGGTGCTATAACATGACAGATCAAGTAAATATGCAGCTAAAGTTTATATAAGACCAGTGCAAATGATACAATAAGATGATAAAGTAAACGAAGATAGTGGAATAAGGCAGTTATCAAAATGCAGTTTCCACATTTCTGCTCTGTGTCTACACTTTTGAATTCAGACAGACTCAATTCCTAAGTCCAAAAGCTTTAAAATTGCAAACTTGTCAGATACCAGGAGAAGTATCTTTAAAAGAGATGAGAGACAGACTGCAATAGACAAAAAATATAAACGCATAAAACTGTTCCTGTGATATGACTATAATTTTTTGCTTTGATCGGGGAGTACTGGACTAGTCTGGTTATTAGGGAGTCATTTCAGAACCACCTCCCAAACACAGAGCACTTTCTCACAGAAGCACAAGGGTTTTATTCAATTTATTATGATGAAGCATATTGCAAGTGATAATTGCATAAGGGTTTCAAAAGAAAGTAAGAAATGTATCCTCAAGGGTCTGACCTAGACTGTTCCAACATATCGAAAATTTTACTGAACTATAAGGTACTCTTTCTAAATTATGTATCAAAGAAAATTTGTTTAATAAATTTTGAAACCAGAATGATGCTACCACAAATTGATAATAAATACAAACTATAGCTCTGTAGCCTTTAGAAGGATCACCACCTAGAACATTCTGCTCTTTTTCTTTGCCCTTTATAGGACATTTAGTAGCTATCATATCTATCTTCTGAATGCTAGAAAGTTTCCAACTGCAGGACTATTAGCTCCCTAGTTCCATCTTCTCTCCAGCTGCAATTAAGCAAAAGATTCTACTACTTTTAAAAGTTCATTTAAGGATGGATGCACACCAGCACATCCTGGCACTCGAGGGAAGGCAGGGGCAGGAGAACAGTGAATTCAAGTGTACCTGGGCTGCACAAGAATGGTCTTGAAAAATTTTTTTTTTAAGTTTGGTTCTGAAATATTATACAGATTAATTTTCTGCTACGAGCTGCAGGAAAATATTATAAGAACTCAGCTGGTTATGGCAAAGCCACTACCTGAAGGGATGAAGGAATTCCTTTAGAGGAAGCCAAATTCCAAGGAGCTTTTGGTGTTATTTGGCTTGTTATGTATCAGCTGTCTTCTGTTATAAAAATCATGTGTGCCTTCATAGTTTTCCCAATTGATTTTTCCCTAAGAAGTGCTAACAGTGTGGACTGATCACTCTCTGGACATACATTCAAGGTATTGGAGAACAGCCTCAGGAAAGGCTTCCTCCCCCCAGCCCATCCGTTTCTCCCCTTTCAGTACTGGAATCAGATATCTCCCTTAGCCACGTTCAAGGACTAACAGAAATAACAGTCCAGACCACCACATGCTAGTCTCCTGATTTAAGGTAAATTCCACAAGGAGACACTGCCTAGGACAGGTGGACCTTAAGTAATACTGTTACATAGTTTAGCTTGGACCCTCCTTTCTTACAGCCTTACTAACTTTATAGACCCCTAACTTCTTACCTAACCACTTCTCAGAATGGAGACTGAGCACATAGATCCCCTTTTTGATATACTAACTGGTCATTAGAACTCAGTTGACCTCCTCTTTTACCACTCCCATTTTGGATTGTAAAAGAAAGCCTGGTAGTCACTGCCTGAGGAAAATTCTTACCTGCCTTTATGACCCCATAGAATTCAAGCCTGGTGACCTTGCTCGAACAGGGGATTGCTATTGCTTGGATTTATAACTGGACTCCTGAGAGACTTGGGGAGAACTTAGAGACGGAGAACAGAGAGGGATAAGGAGGATTTGACCAGAGAGAATGTGTGGACGAGACGGAAGATGAGGAAGATGGGGAAGTACTAGCTGGGTAAGAACGAGATGAGAAGGACCTAGATGAGGCAGAATTAAGACGAGAGAATTAAGATAGAACTTAGAGGGAGCAGTAGATAAATACAGAGAGAAATCAGGCAGGAAAGAAGCTAGGCACGAGAACAGAACTGAAGCTCTGTATAAAGGATGTTATCCCACAGGAATTAAAGCAAGTGGACTAGAGAGCTCAGTGTGCTGAGATTCTATTTCCCAAAAATAGTTCCCACCGTTCTTCTGAGCCCCTGGGAAGTATTAATATTAAGGGTAGTCCTTTAAATAGTATACAAGAATTTTCCTAAGACTGTTCTTGCTACAAATATCTAACACAACATGAGAGGGCATGTCTTTGCGTCTGCACTCTCTTGTTTCAACCTTAATCTTTTCTCTGATCAGGCTCATGTGTTTCTTCTGTTTCCTTAGAACATCAGGGCTTGGAACATATCCTTTCTCTCTAGTGTCCACCCCTCCAGTCTCCATTTCCTTTCTGACACATGGACTTTTCATGGTTAGATTTGTTGATTTGAGGGCAGGGTAACTCATGTCCCAGTAGCATGGCCTAATCCAGAATCCCTAGGATGGACCCCTTATCATTTTCCCGACCTGGGAAACCCATTTTAATAAATGAACAGCACTGAGTTAACCCATGTGATAACACATTCTGTCAGTGACAGTACTGCTTGGTGATGCTGCCCACCTAAATTTAAGAGGACCTCTCCATTCTCTTTCTTATGTGCAGAAGCAATTGATTTCAGCTGACTCACCAGGTGCTGTTAACAATAAGCTGGGCCATGGGAAGAGGAGACAAGGAATCTGACAGAGAGTTCAGGTCCCTGGGCTCTTTTTCCACACTCATTTTCCACTACGCTTCCTCTGTATTCTCACTTTCACTCCCTCAGTTTCCCTCCCCATGTTGTGTCATCTGCCGGATAATGTCACTGCCACCCTTTTGCTCTACTATTTCTTGGCCTCCCTGGTTTCTGGAAGTGCACAGCTGATTCTCAGTTACAGACTAGGGAAACAGCTGAACTAAACAGATAGTTACAGTCAGCAGCCCCACTTCCACATGTTGGAACTGAAGATGGGCACAGTGACACACTGTTCAATTTAATTCTCAGGTGAATCTTTGGTTTTCTTCCCCCCTTTTTCCCCCATATACGTGCTTCTTCCTAGACAGTGGAATCTCACTAGAAGACATAAGAGAAGATGCATTTACTCAACTAACACATATACTAACAAGAAAGACATTCTGGTGGTTGAAAAAGAGATTTGCCATATATTTGCCTTTCAATTGAGCACAGTATTTGTCACATGTTTAGTAGGACTCTAAATAAGAACTCGAAAGATTTGTTCTCAAATGTTATCCCCCTTCAGCACACAACCTAAAGACAACTGTCCAGGGAAATCACATCTCTAAACAATGAAATTGTACTTTCAGAAAGACTTTGCTCTTAACCATAAATGCTTCCTGGGAAGGTATACATAAGATATAATTAACACCACATTAGTTCTCACATAGGTGGTTATAATCCATAAGAGAACCAGCCCCCAAATATGGAAGAATTAACTTTCAATCAAGTCTCAGTGCCTACTGCATCACAGTCTGGGTGGGACACAGAGCACTGACATACTAAGACAAGGAACCCACAGTGAAATAAAAACAGTTGATACTTAAACAATTAGACTATCATGAAGGAAGTACAGAGGTAATTATGACACAGACTTAAAGCAGGGCAGAGGGACAAAGGCAGGTGTGAGATAATATGGGGCATTCAGGGAAATGTAGGTTGTTCAGCAGGTTAAAGCACTGTTGGGTATGTGTGACCACGAGAGAAAGGGTGCATGTGTCCAATGGATAAAGATGTAGAGAAACAGTGGGAAGATACAGGAATGGGAGAGGTAGCGGGAGGAAGAGAGAGGGGGAGATAATACATGTATGTAAGTATGGGGGTGCATCATAGGACTGAGGCTGGGGGTAGTGAGCAGGTAGAGAACAGCACCTGGGCTCTGTCCTAAGGTGCCTGGACTACCACCTCATAATTGGGTGAGGCTTGCCCTGGTGATGACCCTTCCTGAATTCTGACGAGCTAGTGCCATGCCTGGCACAGGGTGGGAGGCTGCACATACATTAGCAAATAAATATTCTATACATGTTTCCGGGGCCTTTCTCAGTGCTCCAAAGTTCCAGTACCCGGCTATCTGTGTCTAGGGCTTCTCAAAGCCCCTGGAGGCTTCTCTGTCTATAGGAGTACATGACTAAGTCTCCAGCATCATGGGCACCCCTGCTTATTCATTCTCAACCCACACTGCTCTAGAGCCACTGCAGAAAATCATAAACTGAGTCATGAGATCAGTAAATTCTTTTTCTGAAAGACTTTAGTATTATATATACAAGAAGGTGGGACAGGCTCATCTCTACAAAGGAGAAGAAACTGACTGAATGTAATTTGAGAAAAACTTCATCTCTCAAAAATTGTTTCAACTTGTTCTCCTTCCTGGAGTTCTACAGATTTGAAATTCATGTGCATTAACTGTGCTCTATTCCAGGACAAAGTCTATGGCATCTGGAGGCATGGACAGCGCACTCTGAACATCTTTCTCTTAAAGTAATTTACCCAAGGTCCTCAGCAAAGGAGGTAAAGATCTGGCATCAAAGTGGAAAAGCATCAAGAGGGAACAGAAGGCTCCATCATAACTAAGGCCAACGCTGGACACCAGCATAAAAGATCAACATCTCCTATGACAAACCTCTGCTTACAGCTAAAGTGACGGTGTCACAAGCTGGGTTTCTGACATTAGTGTTGGGTTCCATGGGCATGAGGCAAGCAAGCAGCTTTGGATTCAGAGTGACTGCTAAATCCAAGTGCTACATGGATCTCATGTCCTTCCAACTGTAGCTACGTGGTCTATTTTATTTCATCAACGGAATTTTTTCAAAACAGGATTTTTTACCCAAAATTCAAAGCAGCATAATCTATGTGATTTTTGAAGCATATTGTAAATAAAACTTTCCATATTCTTACAAAGTTTGTTCTTTTCTGAAAAAAAATGATCCTTTATATTCTTTCCTAGCTCATTATACAAGTTTCTAAAACATATCAGTTATATATAACTAATACTCTCAATAAGATTATTTACAAGGATGATTCCAATTCATTCCTCCAACATTTGATTATAAGGAGAAATCAATCACTGGATAAGGCCACATGATATAAAAATAAGAGGGAATTTTCTATTATTTCCTTTATATATTCCTGCTTTGTCCTCTGCTTTATTTTCTATGTAAAATTTCTGAGTAGTTTACAATGTGGATAGTAGCAACTGCTTCTGAACCTTAAGCACCTGACTGGAATACTTAAAAAAGCTTAAACACAGCTAGTCCCAGAACTTGGTTTTTACATTCTGTTCCCCACTTAAAGCCAGTACAACTCCTTGAGTAAAAGGCTACAGGCAGAGAAGACAAGGCACACTTCCAGCCTCCTGCTGTGCCCTGAAGGAAAAACGGCTCAGAATCCAAAGGGTCATGGAGAAAGAGCACAGGAGCCATCTAATGACTCCCAGTGGCTGCAGGTGTAGCTCAGTATATGTGGCGAGCATGTTTAGGGTACTAGTTTCAATCCCTAGCACCCCAAAATAGAGACTTCCACTGGCTATTTTTGTAAAAACAGGCACAAAAATAACTATTGATAATATACTAATTAAATAAAACCCCCTATGTTCATCATGCTATTGAGAAAGAGGGAGGGGTCGAGGAGGAAATTCCTCTTTGTTATGGAAGTCAGTTAATGGGAGATAGAACTGAAATTGACATTCTGAACAACCTCCGTTATGATAACTCTCTCAGGAAGGCTCATCTACAGATCCCCCAAACCAGTGGGTAAAAGGCTAGTGAAGAATATGATCTTCCAGTGATGCCAAGCCATCACTCCACAAATTATTTCCTTCTAGAGGGAGGGGTTAAAATACCTTAACACAAGTCTCTGGAGATTACCATCATAAGCAACAGCGCAAAGACTTCCTCACTCATGTGGGACCACTTGACATGAGGGACTGCTTTATTGGAAACTACAGGAAACATGATTCACCTGTGGCTATTAACAAATATCAACTGAAATTTGGGCACAGTGTCAAGCCACATCGTCAGGACTCCCTAGCCATGTATGGCTGACTAGTCAGTGCTGTATCAGAACACTGCACAGACACAGGGCATTCTCAGGACTGCACAAAGTTCTGCCAGGCAGTGCTGGTCCAAACCACAGTTCCAGTTCACAGGACATGGGGTAGGAGGTGGGGGCAGATTCTGGATAAGGAACCAAAACTCAAACTTCAAGTGACCAGCAATCGGCTGCCTTTGTCAAAATAGCCAATGCAGAAGAAGAAGAAGAAGAAGAAAAGGAGGAGGAGGAAGAGGAGGAGGAAGAGGAGGAGTAGAAGAAGAAGAAGAAGAAGAAGAAGAAGAAGAAGAAGAAGAAGAAGAAGAAGAAGAAGAAGAAGAAAAAGAAGAAAAAGAAGAAGAAAAAGAAGAAAACATTTGAAATTAGATTAAAATAGACTTTAAAGGTCATGATAATAATATATATCCAAATATCCAAATAACATGTAAACTCTAGTGGCTCATGGTCTAGAAATAGAAGACACTTTTTAGGGAAACTGAAAAAATTCAAATATGAGCTGAATATACTGATACTGTGGATTAGTTATTTAGTTTTAAGGATGATAACAAGAATATAATTATATAAAAGACCACTCTCATGCTTAAGAGCTTAGGAGACAAGTGTCATGATGTTATCAGGAGATTTGACTGCTCAGAAAGAAAAGCCCATGTGCACATGCAAAGCACATACTGCAAAATAGTTAGAAATGTTATATCTAGTGGAGAATGTGTCCATTAGAATAATTCCTTTCATTTTTCTGTATATTTGAAATTTTTGCAATAAAATTAGGCTAGAGAGTAACTGCTAGAGCACATGGGGAAAAAACACTAAAACCAACTTCTACACCCACTATTCTGTTGGGTTAATCTGGCAACAACCCCTGCCATTGCAAATAGCAAGGAAGAAAGCCAAGCTTGGGGCCCTCCAACTCTGGCGTAAGTTTAAAAGCACCATGTAGGCATGCACTAGAAGGGACTATGGTGCCAGAATAAAAGGAAGCCTTGAACAGCAGTCACTGTACCACAGAGGCCAGGTGCATGAAGGTAAACTCCCAGGGAGCACTCCCCAATGCTCCCCACCCCTAATAGAATCTTGACCTGAAGAGAGCAGCCCAGACCAAAAGGACAAAAAAACAGAAAACAAAAAACAAACAAACAAACAAAAAACCAAGGAGTCGACCAAGAGGGTCAAAAGGCTTCTAAAAGGAGCCTTATTGTTGCTTAAGTTCACACATTACCAACAAATAACCCCATGCAGACAACTGAACGCGGCTGCCACCGATCCAGGAAAGCTCTTCCCAACACACTGCAGAAAACAAGATGTCACCTTCAGTTTTTGAAGCTGCTCTGTATTTGTGGTCAAGTGTTCAACATAAGTCTGGACACATTCGAACTTCTTTAAATATCCTTGGTTTCGGACACGAGCCCTCCTTTCAGATTCACATATTTCCTTCAGGTATTTCTTTAGTTTTGCACATTTCAGCTTAGCTCTTAAGACAAAAAAAGGTAGATCTTTAATAATGTAACTCAAATTTAACAAATTTAAGAATAATTTTCTTTAACGAAAATGTTAACAGGACAATAAAAATCTAAGAAATCGTACTCAAAGCATTGAAGCCCAGGGGACAGAATGCATATATAGTATTAGAGAAAGAAAATTATTATGGTATCACTACGGTATCGAATCGGTCACAGCATGACACAGCTCTCCTGAGAAACGCAACAGTACCACTTGATACCACAGTAAAGACCCCTATGCTGCTGAGACAGCTCTCACTATGCAGCCTAGGATGGGTTGAAACCTGCAGTCCTCCTTCCCTGGTTTCACCAGTATGAATACTACAGGTGTGCAGCACCATGCCCGACTGCACCACATCCAGCTACATGGATATCTTTCTTTCTGTGTTTCTGTCTTTTGTTTTGTTTTGTTTTCTGCCTCTGCTTCCTGAGCGCTAGGATTAAAGGTGTGCACCACCACACCCAGCTCTGGATTTATTTCTTAAACTGAAATACGGTTTTAAGAGCAGTGTCTCTTTAGTCATATTCACATGCATACAGAGCCAAGTTTTTATACGACAAGCAATTTTCAAATTAAATGCTCATATAAAAGCAGAATCAAAATATAAACTATAGTACATAAAATTAAGAAAATTTAAAATACAAAAGCTATCATTGAAATAATGTAAAAATGTATTAGACATTACAACAACATATAAGTGAAATATTTTGTAGTAATATATAAACTGTGAGAAAACTTTTGGAGACTCTTATCCAAATTGTAATACTAAAAGGCATACTAGATAGCTCAAAGTACACAACCTTCTCTTCTCATAGACCAATATGCTAATTTTCTTCCTTCTTTACAACTATCTGAACCATAAATGAGTACCTTATGGAGCATTTATATTTTTAGTCCAGTAAGGTATTTTATATTCTCCCATCCACATATGTATTTACCTTCCCAGTACAGATTTTCAAAGATGCTAGAAATATTCAAAATTAATCAACATCAGATCTTAAACCTCTAACTCTAGGCCAACAAACTTTCAGAAATCCCTGCCCCACCCCTCCAATCTCTGGGGCAGTGGTGGGGAGTGTTTAAGTATGAATGTGTGCTCTAGGGTATCTCTGGGGCAGTGGAGGGGGGGGAGTGTTTAGATATGAATGTGTGTTCCAGTGTAAGTCAGAGGACAAGCTCAGCTGTCAGTCCTCACCTTCTACCTTGTTTGAGACAGGGTCTCTTGTTGTTCACCACCGCATATACCAGAGTACCTGGCTCACAAATTCCTGGGGAGCTCTGGTCTCTGCCTACCATCTCCATGTGGGATTTCAGACATGCACCACCATGTCTGGCTTTATGTGGACTCTGAACTTAAGTCCTCAGGCTTGCCTGGCCAGGGTTTACTCACTGAGCCATCTCCCCAGCCCAGAAGATTATCATACTAATGATACTGTGCTTTAACTGTGATTGGCTGTCTTCATTTTTCCTTCTGAATAAAACAATCTACCACTGTTTTGACTGCCCATATCTGCATTTTTGACACAAATGATAGTCATGGAGGAAGACCCAACATACTCTTATCTAGAGACTTAATAAAGCTGCCGAGTAGCCATATCACCACCCAAATCCTCGTCCTCATTCTTGCTATTAACCTTCAAAGCTGATCGTGTAAGTCATCCATCCACCCAAGCAAGCATGGTAATCACTGCATGCTGAAGGCTATGAGGGAAGGGAAGGAACTTCTCAGAACAGCCTGTCCTAGCTGAACCTGCAAGGAGGCCCTCCCAGGGCAACAATTTTTCAGGTAAGGGTTGAGAGATGGATAAAAGCTAGCAGATCAGCTGTAACAATTACATGCCTTAACCACTGCAGAAGCTAAATATGTTTAAATAAGAACCAAAAAGACTATACTGCTCTATTTTTCCCAACCCCCCATACTGCCTTATTTTAAGATATTTAAGTAAAACCATATTCTGAACTAACACAAAAACTAAATAATGAAGAAAATGTTTATTTATAATATATACAATTAATAGCATTTAATTCAAATTATCATGCATTAAAATAAAATAATAATAAAAATATTCTAACTATAAAAACTATGACATAATAGTAGGGGTTAAATTGGCTTTTTTTTTTTTTTTTTTTTTTTTGAGGAACAGGGTCTAAGTAGTCCTAGATGGCCTGGAACTCACTATGTAGACCAGGCTGGCCTCAAACTCATAGAGACAGGGATCCGCCTGCTTCTGCCTCCAGAGAGCTGAGAGTAATGGCGTGTGCTTCCACCACCGCCTGGCAGGGATTACATACTGACTACAAACAAGCTGGACAATCATCACTGTCATCTCTCACCTGCACTTATCAGACTTATTGTATTCATAAAGCTTGTCTTCCAGGTCAAATCTCTTCTTTTCACTGTAATATAAAAACAAAACAAAACAAAAGTCACTGTATCGTACAAGCTAATGTATTTACACCATGACGTCTTTGAAACTGCACCTCTGTGAGACTTGTTTCATCAATCCATTTAAAAAGGAGACAATGTCATGGGTGGCTGAAACAAAGACCCATCTCCAAGGAAGTAGAAGAAATAGGGGGAACACCAGTATGAAGCAAAAAATCAAGATTCTCAACATCAGTGGAGCACTGTCGTGCATGCCTATAAACCCAGCATGTAAGAGGCTGTGGCAAGAGGATCAGGACACTGAGGCCAGCCTGAGGTACATAGTGAAAACCTACTGAAAAACAAAATTGACAGAGATTCTCCAAGTAAGGGAAAATGTTTGAGGCCAGCCAGGGACACATAAGACCTTGTCTCAGAAAGCAAACAAACAAAAAGACTGAACTCAGAATAAACATGGAAAGGACACTCACTGTATACTTATTTCCACATTAGAAATATGTATTGAGATCATGATTATTAAACCTTCAAGGTTCTATAACCAATTGGGTGCTTAACTAATGACAAATGAATGACAAGATGGTACAGTGTAGCAGGAATCTTAAAAGTTCTTATTAATGAACATAAACCTGGAGCAGGTATTGGGGTGAATGCTGGAAGATCAGAGAAGCAAAACAAGCCACAGCCACCTCACCTCACCAGTTCCTAAGCTGATCCTGTTTCCTCAGGCTGGAAGCCTTTGAGTTCTCATCCAAACGGATCTCAGCTGAACTGCTTCTCTAAAGCCTGAAAGCTTAACCAGCTCTAGTTCCTGGTCCTCACACCTTATATACCTTTCTGCTTTCTGCCATCACTTCCTGGGATTAAAGGCGAGTCACCATGCCTGGCTATTTCCAGTGTGGCCTTGAACTCACAGAGATCCATGCCTCCAGAAGGCTAGGATTAAAGGTGTGAGTGCCACCATTTTCTAGCCTCTGTATCTAGTGGCTGTTCTGTTCTCTGACCCCAGATAAGTTTATTAGGGTGCACAATATTTTGGGGAACACAATACCACCACAGTACAAGGAATTTGCGCTTAAATTACAAGGACAGACAGATCTTTAAGTACATCTAGGATGCTATGCTGCCATGGTATTATGGCCAAGATGAATGACTGAATTCTGATCATGAGGAATCATCTAAAGGACCCAGCTTGGGAGTTACTGTCCAGAAAACTCAAGAAATTGTCAGGAACATGACCAACAAGGACAGACGAAAAGAAACAAAAATCACTCCAAGAAGACAGAAGAGATATGGCACACAAAATGCAAACCATGTTTCCCAATGAAACTCTAGACCAGAAAGGACCAGAAAGAAAAGGGGACATTGCTGGGACACCTGGTGTCTGGCATGAGTGTGTGGGCTGATACAGCAAGGCTGGGTACCTGTGAGAGCCGTACTGTGCTTATATAAAAGAGCATTCTTATTTTTTTTAAGTACATTAAAGAGTTTAGTGGTGATGGGCTATCACACCTGCAATTTCAAATATTTCAGAGAAGAGCATGATTTTAAATAGGTGTATGGGAAGAGAAAATTACAATATCGGCACTTCAGAAGAATCTGGGTGAGGAAAACACTGGAGGTTTTTGTCCCATATCTGAGACTTTGCTATAAGCCTGACTTTTTAAAGATAATTTTTAAAATGAATCTGTGGTATCTAGTAAAAAAGGGCCACCATTTCTTCAAAAGTCCATCATCACCTCCCAAACTGCAAGTTCTTTTTAATAATGATGTAAAAATCGTTGTTCTCAGTCCCCTCTTCAGAGGATGCAGACACCTGCTAATCATACTTCCTCTCTCCAAACACTTCATATCTTAGCAACCACAGTCAGACACATTGTGGCTCTCTATTCCATGCAAAAATGGTGCTGATCTTGCCAACTCCTCATCTCCTAACTCCCTCCTCCACACTGCTGCATCTCTGAATGGTAATCCTTCATATGAGTTTTAAACATAAGGCTTAAAAACTAGATATTTACCTCAATGAAAGTCAGAGGGTAGGATCACTATGCTATGCCTACATATCAAATCTCTATTTCAGAATCTCTGAAATGCCCAAACCTGAGATGCTTACTTACATAGCCCATGCTTCAGTCACTTGTACCCCTCATCTGGGTTTTCACAGCTGGGCTGTTCTACAAGGCTGTATGTTCTGCATTTTAAGGCACTTGTTCTGTCTGTGCCTCAGTACTACAATTTTCCATCACCCTCAGCTCTACTCAACTAATATGTCAGTGTCAATTTCTGGACCATTATGATAGGTTACCCTGAATCAATATCACCATTGAAAATAACTGGGGCTGGTTAATGGACCTTTCAAAGGATGTTTTTATATACAATAATTGTTAAGCATCAGTCCCACTTATATGTTTCTACCACACTTGTGGGCACTATACACACTGCAACATGTCACTCCATTAGACTCTTTTAGATTCAATTATTGACTTTCACGACAATGCAGAGAAAGCACTACATACAAACTGAAAAACATTCAAGCTATAAAATTACACCTATGTGTGAATACAGAGAAGATGACTGAGGATCAAAATATGGCAGTTTCAAAGGAAAAGCCCAGCTATCAGATCAGCTAACATTTCAATGCCTGCCTCTAAAAGGGTTGAGAAGAGTGAACTGTGTTTATTGTTGCCGTTAATCTCCTGCGTCTCCAAAGTTTCTAAATTGATAAAGCACTTCCAAGCATTCCTACTGCTATTCAAATCACAACACTTGGGATGACCATGGACTTTCAGGAGACAGTGCTCCCTATGCTGAGACTGGCTTTTAATTTTGAAACGTTATTACATTTATTTTGTGTGTGTGTGTGTGTGTGTGTGTGTGTGTGTGTGTGTGTGTGCGTGCATGTGTGTGTGCTCACACACATTCATGTGTGGCAGTCAGAGGACAACTTTCATGAGTCATTTTCCTCTTCCCACCTTGCAGGTGGGATCAAACGCAGGTCATTAAGTTTGGCAGCATGCACCTTTACTTGCCGATCCATTTCACCAGCCCAGCTTTAATTTTTTAAAAGCCCACTAATCTAGTTTTTTTTTTTAAGTGAGTCTTTATTTTACATATTAATCTAGTTCCCTCATCCTTCTGAAGAACCAAGGTTCAAAAAGGCCAGATGACCCTTTTCAAGCTCTCGGGACTTGTCACGGCCAGAACTCATGATCTTACTGTAGTGCTCTCTCTAAAGATATTTGCGTCTCTATCTTGTGTATAGCATGCATTAATTAGAATTACTTACAGATTCTTAAAATGAAAAATGATCACACACGGCAACAGATTTACACTGACTTAAAAATAAAACAAATCTTCAAATGCAGGACCATGAACAGGGCATAAAATGTGACTCCAATTTCTTCTGTAACTTCAACAACCTTACCTTGCTTAATAATTAAAGTAAGAAGTGTTAGACATAAAGTGGATAATCATTACACGGTTATTGTACCATAAGGACCATAAACAGCCAGGTGTTTCTAGCACAGGAGGCAAAAATAACTCACCATTAACTTAGTTCAAAAAGAATGTCATTTAAATCAGTAACATTTTAAGAGCAGATCGTTGGCTATGAAACACAAATAAGTAAAAACCCAAGGTAACTAACTACACCACTCTGCAACTACAGCAGTGAGCTAACGGCACTGAGACAGACAGTCTTGATTTTTAATTACACAGTATGTAAAGACACTTAATAGCACCTTGGAGGACTAGGAAAGGATCATTATTTAGTGACAATATGAGGCCACTGTGCTCCACAGAAGCCATTCGTAACACCTAGACACGAGCTACTTGACTCTTGGATTCCACTTATAATAAATTCAAATAGTTCACAAAACACCTCTCTCATCACATGGACTACACTGCAAGCCAAAGGATCTGCTAGGTGTCATTTCTTCCCTCCCAGAATTCTCAATGTAGGCAAAGAAAAAAAAAAAGTAAAAAGTCACTTGTGCTCTCCCTGAAAGTGCGTAAGCAAGCAGAAGGTACAAACATTAGGAAAAGCATTTGGAAAAGAAAAGCTCTGCAGGGAATGATACATACTTTTTTAAGACAGGATCTCACTATGCTGCCCTGGCTGACCTGGAACTCATTATGTAGCTTAGGCTGGCCTTGAACCTGTAGTCCTCCTATTTCTGCCTCTTCAGCATACACGACCACCAGCATACCCTTAACTGGTTAATTTTTTTTTTTTTAAGTGGATGATTAAAAGATCCCTAGGGTAGGAGAGCAAGAGTGTGTCAGAAAGAAAACAGGATGTAGGAAGGAGATAAGCCATGGAAAGGACAGTTAAGGCCTGTGGTAAATAGTTTACAAATAACTAGACAAAAATTAAGTCTAGCATAAGATGCAATTCCCTTGAAAAAAAAAATCACTTACTTTACCTCACCTGCAATTACTGTTATCATCTTAGAACTGTTACAGCCCTCCTGGTCCATCTGAATGATTCTGTAACTTTAACACTCATTAAATGTTTTATTTATCAAGAGATCCAAAAATCTATTTCCTTTCTTGTCAACTAATGAGATTTCTAAGCCAAATTAATTTGGCAGCTAAAATAAGTGTTCCAACAACTTATCTTTCATGTGGTTATTTATAGTCAATTGCTTTATAATTTTCTCTATTTATGCATTCTTAGATCTAGCTGTCTCCAGTGGTTCTCATCTTTCATGTCTTAATCAAAGGCAATCCCAAGCCTCGAAGCTGAACTCGTTGAAAATTTCATCCCTTCACTATAAATTTAGGGAGCCCCAGACACCTTCAAATGACTCCAGCATTTTAACAGGGCATGGGTTTTAAACATACACACACATCACCTCACTCCAGCCTGTATTCCTAGACCTGTCATCATTGATGCAGTGTGTGTGTCAAACTAGGGTGACAATCTGAAGAGAGAGTGGGGAGGGGGCCGTAGAAGAGGACTAGAGAAATTCACAAGGCTTGATGGAGACTGGCAGGCAAAAGAACTACTCTCACTTCCGGCCGCATCCTCAGGCTGAGGGACCCGGCTTTAGTTGCACCTAACTCAAACATAGGGTCATTTGCGGTGAACTTTATGCTCCGGACCCCATCCGGAACTACTGGTAGGTCGCAGGCGGGTCCCGGGCCTGGTGACTCATTGGCGGGGAATGGGAAGAAACGCCAGACAGGGTACCCAAAGCTCTCAGTGGCGCACTGACTCCCCGCCCCGTCCCGCCGCCGTACCTGTCCCGCAGCGCCTGCTGGAGCTGGCCCACCCTTTCGTAGTAGCTGGGACTCGCCAAGGGCGCGGACGCGGCGGGGATCGGGCGCACGCCACCGCCACCGCGCCCTCGCGGCATCGCCCCGGGGCAGCGCGAGGGCCTGCGTTGCCAAAGGAGACCGCCCCGACATGCACCGCGGGTAAACAAGGAGCCGGGCCGCCTGAAGAGGGCGGGGCAGAGGCGGGACGCCGAGGAGGCGGGGCAAGGTGCCGTGCGGGGGCGGAGCGGAGGCTGAGATCCAGGCCGGGCGGCGAACCCTGGTGGTACAGGCTACAAAGGGACCAGAAGCCAAGAGAGCTGCGTCACCTTCTCTCTGCTGCAGCTGTGTTTCTCTTCCCTGCTCCTGCTGTAGAATCCCTTCCAACTGTACTCACCTTTTCAGATGCGGTTTCTTGCTTCCCACCCCTTTCCCTGCCTCATCTTAGAATTTGCAGAGACACCCTGTGGCAAGGTTGTTTTGCTACCAGCACTTAAGAAAGCAAAACAAAAAGCCAGAAGAAGAAAAAAAAAAAAATACTCAGCAGATGTATGCAGTGCCGTGCTGTCCTTAGAACGTGATGGCTCCATTTGCCATCAACCTTTACAGGCGACGAAGATTTGGTTTCTAACTAGTTACTTGTGAATCAGACAATTTACTTCTGCCGACAATCCTCCAACAAGGCCTGGAGCCAGACTCTCTCCCACTGCTCAGCTGTGACCATGGAAAAGCCAAGGCACACCAGAGTGAATTAGGCAGGCGTTGACAGCAAGATTAACCTAACCTTAGATCAATCAAAATGAATTAGTGGTTATAAAGGCCCAGAACAGAGTATCAGTTTTTATCATTGCCTCCACGAACATGGCAAAAGGCTTCCGGAAGAAAGACAACTGTATTCTAAAACCCATTTGGAAGGGAAAAATAAAAATTAAAAAAAAAAATGTTATACACACATATACAGAGTCACTGTGTGGTTCCTTATTATACACTTTTTTGGGTTTCTTTTCCCAAATCAGTAGTTCACTTATATGCAAAGTGTCACTTAAATCAAGTCTTCTTTAATAGTAAGTCAGGACACTGTGGGGCTTGTCCAGTATCTGAATGGGGGTGGGGCTGTGTGTTAAAAAGTTTGCAACAGTCAACCATTCTTCAATGTACAAAAAACAAAACTCAATTGAAAATTAAGACATAATGAATCCCAGGTGTTTCTGGAAGCATTTGTCCATGTTTCATACCTTGACATAGCATGTTCACTATGCACTGTGTATATCCATCACACTCTGACTTAAAATACTAAATTGGTCATTAGGGAAAGCAATGAAATGCTCAAAGGTCAGCAACATATGATTATGATTTTACTGAGCTTTCCTTCCCCATACTGTCTGCCTAAATGTTGAAAGGTACAAATTAAACTGGACTGGACAATAACCATGTAATCTCAGCACTCAGTGAGTGAGGCAGGAGGATCTCTAATTCCAGACAGGCCTTACAGACCCTGCCTATTAAAAAAAAAAAAACGTGGGCCAGGGAGGCAGATCAGCAATCCAAGGATGCTTTTTCTGCAGGTATGACAACCTGCATTTGATTTTATTCCCCCAAGTTGTCCTCTGACCTCCACTTGTGCACTCTAACACACATGCATCCATACTCATGCACACACACACACACACACACAATATTCATCTAATTAAAATGTCATATATCAGGATAATATATCATATCATATCATATCATATATCAGTAAAATAGGGTTTTTCCTCCTGTCTTCACCACTATATCTTTATAAGAATGTGGACATCAAGGATAGAATTCTGACTCCTTTCCTAATCCAATTTCCCACACCAGGTTCAGGGTTGCATGATGAGATGCCTCACCCACAGTAGGGCTGGATGTGCCCTACTTTCTCTCCATTCAACAAATCCCATCTGCATCCATAAGCCTATCTCAGCCTCCTTTTGGCCTAAAGCTAAACACTAGTGTTGGCTCCTTGTAAGAATGGCCCAGAAAAGAGGTCTCTGAGGCCCTGGAAAGCAATTTGGGACTCTTTGAACAGGAAATGCTAGGGTTCTGGGTACCTGGGACTGTGTTCTAGGAGATGTGTATTTGTGCACCCCCATGGGCATGTGCTTGACTTTGGGGCCTCCTTTCCTCACGTGAAATGACCAGAGAAGGACAAGAACAGATCTGTGATATGCAGAGCTAGTACAGGACCCTCATGTCCCACGGATAGTTAGCATGAATGTGATTTATACTTAATCTATCAGCTCATTATATCAAGTTGATCCAAGCTTGTGTGCTGAGGTTTATTTTACTAATTATAGTGTGTGATGATTCATCTTCATTGTCAACTTGATTAGATTTGGAATCACCTAGGAGACACATCTCTGGGATGGGGATATTTCCAGAGAGATTTAACTGAAGGGAAAGATCCATCCCGAATGTGGCCTGCAGCATCCCACGAGCTGCAGGGCCAGACTGCATAGAAACAGAAAACGTGTGTCAGAATTCCCTGTTCCTTGTTTCCTGGCTCTGCCCAGATGTGAGGAGTTGCAGCTGCACACTTTTGCAGTCACGAACTCTGCCATCTCTTTCTTACCATAGTGGACTCTTCCCTCTTAACCCGGGAACCAGAACAAATCCTTCTTAAGTTGCTTCTCTCAGCATTTGGTCACAGCTTTGAGAAAAGTAACCTATACATAGACAATTAAAGTTTTACTACAATCCTGACAAAAATAAATACCTTTCGTAACCCCCTCAAGGCACATGAGCAAACAGACCCTAACCCCCAGACTACTCTAATGTCCAAATGGGCTGTTTTTAGCCCCTTAAGACGCAGGCAGCCAAGCTCCACCCTAAAGAAAAAAAGGCCAAGATCAGACCACAAAAGCCCACCAATCCCTGGACTTGCCCCAAGATTGGATCACAAAATTCCACCAATCCCAGGCCACCCTAGAAAGCTTGCACCCTCAAGAAGTCCTCCATAAAGCATGTCTCCTGCTCAGCTCTTTGCTGCTTCTCTCCTAAGCAGAGGCAGCCATCCTCTTCTGTCTTTCCCAATAAATCACTTGTGTGAGGTTTGTTGTGTGGCGTGACTTTGTGGTATTCCTTGGCTCCTGACTGCCAGGATACCTTTCCCCTCAGAGCTGTAACACTTACGCCTTTTATTTTTAAGATATTTTATTTAGGTCTGCACATTCTTCCAAGATAACAATTTTATAATTATGTTCAGAAAATAGCACAGAGTAAGCAGGTAAGACAGCCCTTTAGCATCCCTGCCCCTGCCTCTGTTTTTTTGTTTTTCCAGACATGGTTTCTGAGAACTCACTCTGTAGACTAGGCTGGTCTCAAACTCAGAGATCCACCTGTCTCTGCCTCCTGAGTGCTGGTATTAAAGATGGGCACCACCACACCTAGCTAGTATCCCAGTTTTTATCAGGTCAGTTTAGAAGAATCTAAAATTAAATATAGTTAAACAATAAATATTCAAAAATAATTAAAATGCTCAGGCTATGATTGACACCTTAATGACATAATAATGTTGATAATGGAGAGCCTCCTTTATCAACACTAACACATAGCAAATAGAAAGACTATTTCTAAAGTATTTATGCCAAAAGTATACATTTAGAATAATGATAAACATTTAATGAATTCAGGATTCTTCACTTTAAATATTTAATTAGGGACAGACTCTGTTTTAATATTTTTCTTTAGTTCCTCTAGTAGCCTGCCTGGACTGTAAACCACTGAGATGACTTGGGTTGTCAAATGCTACTGCAAGTATAAAGATGAACTAGAAGTGAGAAGGACTCTGACTTCAGCCCCTTATTTAATTTAATTTAATTAATTTTTTGTTGTTTAAAAAAGGCTCTTGTTACGTAGCGCCGGTGGCCTACAACGCACTACGTAGACTATACTGGCCTAGAACTCATGACAATGCTCTTGCTTCTGCCTCCTGGATACTGGAATTACAGGTTCATTCTATCACTTTTGACTTTGGTCCCCTCATTTTAAAGATGAAGAAAAAAGTCATGTAGCTGGTAATCTGTGTAATTTAGTTCAAAATATGTGTCCCCAGTAAGCCAACAGTATCGGAAGTCAGTGTGTCTCAGGCCAGCATTCATATGGGTCTTTGGATAAGCTACATGAAACTGTTATGTCTGTTAATTAAAGAAATTGAATGAAATGATGACATGGCTTTTGGAAATACGTTGAAATTAGAATTGTAACTTTTAAAAGATAAATACCATGTCCTTCCCCCCCACCTTTGATTGAGCCCTTGAGCATGTTAGATAAATGCTCTACCACTAAATTTCCACATGTGTGCACATGTATATTGGGGGATTCCTCAGAATCTAGAAGAGGGTGTGAGATCCCCTTAAAGCTGGAGTCACAGACAGTTGTGAGCTTATGGGTGCTTGGAACAGAACTGAGGTCCTCTGCAAGAGTAACCAGCTCTCTTAACCATCTCCCCAGCCCTCTCCTCCATTTTTTCCATACTTTGTATAGCTAATTCAGTAACTGGCTGAGTATTGTATAAGTTCACTAGCGCTGCTACAGCAGAGTATGGCAGTGTAGAAGGCTAAAGCAATAGGATGCACTGTGTCACATCTTAGAAGCTAGAAGTTCAAGATGGAATTCTCTGCAGGGCTGGTTCCTTCCTTAGGCAAGAAAAATCCCCATGCCTCATTCTAGATTCTGGTGGGTTGGAGACAATCTTTGGTATTCTTTGGTTGGGAGACAATGTATCCCAGTCTTGATATTCATACAGAGTTTTCCCCATCTTAATGATTTTAAAACAAATCATTTCCCCCAGGCCCTACTTTTAAACACCGCAGGCATATTAATTTTCTACTCTGTTAATACCTCACAGTGGGCACTAAATTTTGGTAATGAAACCCTGGATGACACACTCAAACCATATCCAAACCACAGCATTTGAGATGTATAGAATATACACTATGTCACCCAGAGTTTTTCTTATGTGGACATGATTGTTGTTGGTGAAGAAAATGTATTTACATAGAATGTGTTTTCTACATGTTATGATGTTACATTTTATGTACACCATTCTGTTTTACTCACCCCTGCCTCTTCACCCTCCCCTTAGTCATGGCACTCAGAAAAACAACATCCTTTCTAGAAGTTAAAGTCTTTAGGACCATGTTTGGTTAATGAAACATGGCCTCAACTATATACACCTTCTTGGCTTGGCTCCAAAGCAGCGGCACAATCCTCCCAGTTTTTATTTGTTGGCTGGCCAGATGCAGAGTACCCAGTGGAGTACCCTCAGACCTTAAGAGAAGAGTGAATGACTGCAAAGCACAGGAAAAGTGAACAAAGCAATAAACAAACCCTTGTGTTGTGCACCTCTGGCATTTTGGGGTTGTTTGTTTCAGAAGCTAGATTATATAATCTGACTCATACACAAATGCATTAAACTATTTTTCCATAAAATGCTCAATGAGTATTTCTGTATCTAGATGGTAAGGAGACTACAAACCTAGAACAGAAAGATTAACAGTTAGTGTCAGCCATGTATATGTGCCCATAGTCCCACTACTAAAAAGTGGAAATAGGATAATTTTGAATTTGAAGCCAGGCTATGTTGCATAACAAGACCCTCTCCCAAAAAATAAAAAAAGGTCAAAGTCAAGGCTGTATATAGTGAAGAACTATCTAAAGCAACTCTGTCCCATGAGACTTCATGCAATGATGGAAATGTCCTCTTTAACTCTATGCTAGCCACTAGCCACATATGGCTACTTCATAATTCAAGGTGGTTAGTACAACTGAGGAATTGAAATTGTAATAATTAATGTATAAATTGGCATGTAGCTCCTAGTTGTTGTGTTGGACAGTACAGATCTAGACATAAAGTGGAAAGATAAATAAACATGGTAGAGAGAGAGAGGACACATGGTGCCAGAAAGTGGGAAGGTAGGAACTATAGGTGAGATATCCTTGGTGAAAGGCAATGGGTTCCAGAAGGGAGGTATGACGATTAATTTTATGTGAGAAGCCAGCTGGGCCTTGGTGCTAATTTGATCAATCACAAGTCTAGATGTTGTTGTGAAGTTGTTTTCTTAGATGTGTTTAATTATTTAATCAGGAGACGTTGAGTAAAGCAGATGACCCTGTGTTAGTTCATTTTCTATGCTATAAGAAAATAGACGAGACTGGATACTTTATGAATGAAAGGTTTATTAGCTTGTATTTTGGAAGGCTGTAAGACCAAGGTCAAATGGCCTCTCGGTTTGGTCTCTGGTGAGAACCTAATATCAGATGACATTAGAATGATGAAGCAGCTATGACAGAGATCACATGGTGACACGGGAAGCCAGAGACAGCATCAGGGTCCAGGCAGTTTTAAGATCAGCACACTCAGGAGAACAGCCCGAGGTCCCACAAGAGCTGTCAATCTCTTCTGAAAGGAGCACCCACAGTGACTAAGTAATTACTCTGCATTAAGTGCCATCTGAGAACCGAGAAATGTGGTACCACTTCAAGACCAAGACCATGATGAAGACTAAGCTTCCACCACATGAACACTTGGGGGATACATTGAAATCCTATCTAAACCACAGCATCTGCATACCTGGATGGGTCTGATCTACACAGCTAAAGGTTTAGAAGATAAGACTGATAGCCCCTACAGTCTTGTAAGCCAATCCCCCCCCCCAATGTATCTCCTGCTGATTCTGTTTCTCCAGTGAGTCTTGACTAATACAGAAAGGTGTGGGATTGCTAACAGCATTTTGCTTAGAGACATTGAGATGATAAGCTATTGGTGGTTTAATAAAAGAACAGAGAAGTCATGTATGAGGCCTTGGTTTCAATCCTGGCAATGTTAGTAAACAAAAAACGTCAATGAATAATTTCCTCATTTTGTTTTGAATCAGAGAAACCAACAACTTGTAAATTCCTGGGCTACCAGAAAGCTAAATAATAGCTAAAACATAGAATGTGAGAATAGTAAGAGGAAAATGAAATGTTAAAGGCATTGCTAAATGAGATAGACTCACTTTGTCTCATAGCCCTTGTCTACAATAAAGTCCTTGAATCAGCTCCCCTGAGTTCTCCATGACTGTGCCTCTGTAGGAGCCCTCTGAGGAGCTAGACCTGAAGCATCAAATCCTTGTACACTTTGCCCCTTGAGGAGCTGGACCATGGCTTTGTGCACCAGTCAGGGACAGGTCTGCAGCCCTGAGTGTGTGAGTGACAGGTTGTAGGTGTTGACAACACACGTGGATTGATCTTATAATGCCAAGATTCTCCTCAAAAACCATTTGGTGGATTTCATAATTGTTTGCCACTTGGATGCACTTCTCACCAGGGTTCAACAAGTACTCCTAACTACAAGGGTTGGAAACAAAAGACACTCTAGGCTTCTCTTATGATGATGCACTCACAGGCAGGTTAAAATTAAAGAGTTTTTGCATAATAAATGCCATTTAATTTCATAGCTACATGTTCATGTTTACGGGGTGAGAAGGCACTGGTGGAGAATGTTGCACTTCTCATGTGTTCAATTATCCACAAGTCTTTGTAGAAACGTAGGCTTCATTCATTCCTGGGGCATCTCAGTGGTGACAACACAGAGAACATTCTCCCTACTCCAAGTACTTACACTGTGTCCTTGAGGAGTGGTTGAACAGAGGTTGAGAATTTTGATTCAGGTGCATCATCAGTGTGGTAAAATGTTGCCTGCTCTTACAAACTGTGTGCCTTGGGCAGAATGATTATCTTTGCTGTGTCCCAAAACTGTCACTTATAAAACGGTGGCAGTATCAGTGCCCTCCTCTCTCAGGGCTGTTGAGAAGATTAAACGCGGTAAAAACTGTGTGATGTTTTTAGAATTATGCCCAGTAGAGTTGTTCAATCAACACAAGCTGCCATTGTTTGTTTAGAAGGCAAGAAAAAAATCCTATGGGAGGCAGAGAGTGGGGTCAAAGGGTAGGCCTTATTTACCTCATGGTCTTGCATCATACAGTGTCTTAGGTTTTGCTTTTTGCTTTTTTATGGAGGCTGGCTTCCAAGGATTCCCATTCTTCATTATTGTTTCTGAAGCAATAATCATGCAAATTCAGTTGTGAAAAAATCCTCTCGTCCCTGCCAGCAACCCTTCCATTTCTTCTCCTGCTTTCTTAATGTGGCCTTCTTGAGTTATTCAAAACATGTATCTGTCTGTGTCTATAGGTAGATAGGAAACTACTTTAAAGACTTTTTATTCAGGGTTTTTTGTTTTGTTTTGTTTTGTTTTGTTTTGAGAGTAGAGGGAGTGAACACTACAGTATGCCTGTGGAAGTCAGATGACAACTTATGGGTTCTTTCCTTCTACCACGTAGGGGCCTGGGATCACACCCAGGGCATCAGTCTTGATGGCAAGCACCCTTCCCTGCTCAGCCATCTGGCCAGTTCCATTAACTATGAGACAAGGTTTCTTTGTGCAACAGACCTGGCTGTCCTGGAACTCTCTTTGTAGACCAGACTGGCCTCAAACTCACAGAGATCCACCTGGGTCTGCCTCCTGAGTGCTGGGGTTAAAGGTGTGTGCCACCACAGCCCAGCTCCACTATTTTTTTTCACTCATTGTTTTGTGTCTTGTGTTTCAGCTAATGTATCTTGGAGAGATATATAGACATCAGTCTGTACATCTACATCAAGATTTATTTTTTTTCTTACGTGCATATTGTGTACATAGCTGCATGTGTGTGTGTGCCACAGGCAGGTTCTGGAGGAGGCCAAAAGAAGGTGTTGGATACCCTAGAATTGAAGTTATAGATGGTTGTGAGCCACCTGATGTGTGCAGTAGGAATTGAACCCATGTCCTTTACAAGAGCAACAAGTGTTCATGACCACTGAATATCTCCAGCCCATTTTAAACAGCTGTGAAGCATCTCCTGGTATGGATACTGCCTAAGACAATTCATCTAATCAGTCCTCCCTTGATAAGTTTGTTTTTGCTTCATGTACTGTGATATTGACAGTGATATTTAATGCAGTAAATTATATTTTTAAACTCAACTTTGAAATGTCACCAGGGTAGACATCTTTATAAAATACCACAACCCCACCCATGACTGCACTACTCAAGGGGCCATATGTCAGCTGTGCTCCTGTACTGTGCTTGTGACAATGGCATCACTGTGGCAGGAGCAAAGATATTCTAAAAAGAGATACTTGTGTCTTTCCCTTTAGTAATCATTTTATTAAATCATTGGTCCCCAAGAAGTTGGAATTTCCCCAAAAATCTCATGCTGGGAGAAAGACAAGCCTGAAGCCTGGTGCCAACCAGAGGGGCAGCTCTGACATGTCAGACCACCTTTCAAGAGAAACTTGCAATAGAAACAATAATGGGTCAGTGGTGGGCAGGACCACACTTTTACCAGAAATACTTAGTTATACATTGTAGCTAGAGTTTTCCTGCCTGGCCCACAGTCAGGACAAATCTCTCTCACCTGCCAGTCCCACAGCCACTCAGACCCGACCAAGTAAACACAGAGACTTATATTGGTTACAAACTGTATAGCCATGGCAGGCTTCTTGCTAACTGTTCTTATAGCTTAAATTAATCCATTTCCATTAATCTATAACCTTGCCACATGGCTCGTGGCTTACCGGCATCTTCACACGCTGTTTCTCATTGTGGCGGCTGGCAGTGTCTCTCTGACTCAGCCTTCCACTTCCCAGCTTTATTCTCCTCCTTGTCCCGCCTATACTTCCTGCCTAGCCAATGGCCAATCAGTGTTTTATTTATTGACCAATCAGCAACACATTTGACATACAGAACATCCCACAGCACTTCCCCCACTTTTTTTTTCTCAAAAAGGAAGGTTTTAACCTTAACAAAGTAAAATTACATATAATTTGGGAATTGGGGCGTAGCTTCTCTTACTACTTCCTGCTGGAGGGGGGCACTGTATCTTATGGGGACACAAAGAAAATTTTAGGATCATGGAGTAGTCTGTGAGGCTGTATCGTCTGAGCCAGTTGCCTTGAAACCATTCTGGATGTTGGATCATCTGGGCCATGGTGTCTTCGGAGACCTTTCAGGGGGTCTTGGCTGGTCAAACCTGATGTGTCTTAATTTGGAACAAATCCATAGCCTCTTGCTTTCTGTGGAAACAAAAGAGACTCTTTTCCAAAGCAACATATCCTTACATCCAAATTTTGAAGTCAAGGTATCTTTAAAATATACATACTGGTTTAACACAGCTTCCTTTACAATCAAATATCTCTCTGCAGTTAAGAATCCCAAAGACAGGGGCTGGAGAGATGGCTCAGAGGTTAAGAGCACTGGCTGATCTTTCAGAGGTCCTGAGTTCAATTCCCAGCAACCACATGGTAGCTCACAACCACCTGTAAAGAGATCTGATGCCCTCTTCTGGTGTGCAGGCAGAACACTGTATGCATAATAAATAAATAAATCTTAAAAAAAAATCCCAAAGACAACACAATCCAGATTCTCTGTGTAATATTCATCTCTACGTGGCTTATTTTTTATACTACCTTTACTGTCTCTTTAAAGACTTTATTTTAAAAAACTATTTATTTCTTTATATAACTGTATATATTCCTTTTTCTCTCTCTTTCAAGCCTACGTACATTTTTACTATTACATCTGAATCTGTCTTATTGTGTTGCTTTAAACTGCAGCAGCTGTGGCTGCTGGCTCCGCCCACCGCAGCTTCCCAACATGGCTACGTTTACCACCAGCTCTGGGAGCTATCGTGGGTCTATGCTTTTATCCAAGCAGCATGTAGCCCAGAAACCTCTTTTTTTGTTTTGTACTAGTAAAGGATAAATCTACCACACAGCTTAATGTGCCACTTGCAGAGGCCTCATTCCCACCATATGGCGGCAGGTCAAGCGTGCACGCTAGGAACCCACCAGTAGCTCAAACCGGCAGCTGCCGCTCATTTGAGAGAGACAATTAGGAAGCTGTTTTTAGCTCTGTTTTAGAATCTTTTCTCAGGTTTTAGGTGGAAACTCTTGCCACCACGTTGGACGCCATTTGTAGCTAGAGTTTCCCTGCCTGGCCCACAGTCAGGACAAATCTCTCTCACCTGCCAGTCCCACAGCCACTCAGACCCGACCAAGTAAACACAGAGACTTATATTGGTTACAAACTGTATGGCCGTGGCAGGCTTCTTGCTAACTGTTCTTATAGCTTAAATTAATCCATTTCCATTAATCTATACCTTGCCACGTGGCTCGTGGCTTACCGGCATCTTCACATGCTGTTTCTCATTGTGGCGGCTGGCAGTGTCTCTCTGACTCAGTCTTCCACTTCCCAGCTTTATTCTCCTCCTTGTCCCGCCTATACTTCCTGCCTAGCCAATGGCCAATCAGTGTTTTATTTATTGACCAATCAGCAACACATTTGACATACAGACCATCCCACAGCAATACATACCTCTTGCCCTCTATCTGAACCAGGACGTATGTCAGTGCCCCAAAGATGGACTTGAGAGCACTGGCTCTGTCCCACTTCCTGATGTGGCCACATCAAATAAGTCCCTTCATTGACATTTCACTATTATTTGTCTCCTTCACTGGCATATTAAGGATAGGTTGACAATTCTAGTTTGTTAGGGTTGCCAGGTTCCAGGGTCTGACCTTAACAACTTCAGTAACAGAAGCGTGTATTCCAGTAAATGCTACTGAGCAACCCCTCTGGGTTTTCTGAAACGTGTAGCATCACATCATGCTTACAGTTGTGCTCCACTGCCGGAAGCTCCTCCCTCTAGTACCATGGGATTGTTTCTAACATCCTACACCATTTTTATTCCTCTATCTTTTAGCCATTGTCCTTAAATGGCTTTTGAGACCTACACCCAAATCTTCTCTTGAATTTTTTTGGCTTTTTTTGGCCGCCAGAAGCTACTTACAGTGAGACCCATTGTCTTATTTAGGATTTCTATTGCTGTCAAGAGACACCATGACCACAGCAACTCTTATAAAGGAAACCATTTAACGGTGGTGGCTTGAGTACAGTTCAGAGATTTAGTCTATTATCATCATGGAGGAAAGCAAGGCAGCATGCAGGCAGCATGGTGCTAGAGGAGCTGAGAGTTCTTACATCTAGACTCATAGGCAACAGGAAGTGGTCTGAAACACTGGGCATGGCTTGAGCATATTTGAGACCTCAAAGCCCACCTCCACAGTGACACACTTCCTCTAATAAGGCCGTACCTACTCCAACAAAGCCTCTCCTCCTAATAGTGCCCCTCCCTTTGGGGGCCATTTTCTTTCAAGCCACTACACCCCATAATGCCCAACAAAGTTAGTGTTGCATCGTGAGTATCAGCCATAGACCTCTGGACATGGTGTCATCATTGACTTGAGTGCATCATCCCACATTTGGTAAGGTTAAAAGACAAAATATAGAGTCTGAAGATGTGGGTCCATATCCTAGCTTTACTACTAATCAGCTAGATCATTTTCGCAAAGAGCTGTTTTTATTTCAGTTCCCCAAATCATATCCCCAAGATATGATTGTCTCTGCTTCATGGATGATTTGGGTTTGGGGGTATAATTCATTTATTTAGGTGAAGATACCAGGAAGCGGTTGAGAGAGAGAGGATGTGAATCACAAGGGACGGAAGCAGATATTAGGGACCTTACTGAGAATATGATCACCATGGGCAGCTATGGCTCAGCCTCTGAAGGACTAGGTAGAACCAAGCCAAATCATCTTGACTGAAGATTGAGGAAGTAGGCTCTTGCTTCCTTTGTTTCTGTTTTTAAAAATTAAACTACAGATGTATGGGGGGAAATGAAAACCAAGTAATCTCATTCTTGTTTCTTCTCCTAACTTGCTGAGAAGATGGGGAGATGAAAGAGCAAAACACAGAAACAGCCGGGCGGTGGTGGCGCACGCCTTTAATCCCAGCACTCAGGAGGCAGAGCCAGGCGGATCTCTGTGAGTTCGAGGCCAGCCTGGGCTACCAAGTGAGTTCCAGGAAAGGCACAAAGCTACACAGAGAAACCCTGTCTCGAAAAACAAAAAACAAAAAACAAAACAAACAAACAAAAAAAACACAGAAACAATTGTATTTATATGTAACAGCAAGAAATAATGGGGGGGGGGGGGGCGTTGAATGTTTTAAATACCACTGTGTTAGTCAAGTTTTCACCTTCCTAACAGATACCTGAGAAAGTTCAAAAGAAAGACAGATGTATTTTGGATCACAGTTTCAGAACAGCTTGCTTCATGGAAGCAGAGGAGATATGCTAGTGGGATTCTTTCTTTGCCTTTTATTCCATCTTGGCGCTTAGCCTATCAGGTCTTTCTCCCATAGTCGTTCTTCTCTGGAACTGCTCTCGCAGCTAAATCCAGTAGCAAGCTTTTCTAACCCCTCAGAGGCCTCCCAATCCAATTACCTTGACAGTCAAAACTGGTCGTCACAACACTTACAGTATGCGCTGGTTTGCAAAACCTCCCAAACTCATATTGTCCTTTAGCTCCCCAGTGTAACAGTGTTGAGAGACTGTACGACCTTCAGGAAATGATTGGCATTAGAAGATGACCTTGACAGTGGGTTGTCACACCACTCTGCACTGTCCCCTTAGCATACCTGCTTGTCCTCCGCTTTGTCACCACGAACACGAGGCCCTCATCAGACACAGCCATTTACTCTTGGTTTTCCAGCCTCCAGAATCCATGAGCCAGATAAAAATCTTTTGTAAAAATCCTCTATGCTGAAAACTATGAGTATTGCAGAGAGAAGTTAAAGAATTTGTAAGTAAATTGAGGAAAATGCTGATCAGGACATGTAACATGGCTGAGGGAGCGGTTCTCAGATTAACCTATATACTCAATGAAATCCTAATAAAATTCCCAGCAGGGTTTGTTTTTTGAGATATTGACAAAATGATTATAACATTATATAGAAATGCAGAGCCCTAGAAAAGAAACAAACAAACAAGAACTCACAAAACAAACTTTAAAAAAGAAGAAACCCAGAGGACTAAGATTGTTTTCAAAACTTATTATGGGAACTAGAGAGACAGCTCAGCAGTTAAAAGCACTTTCTGCGCTTGTGGAAGACCCTGGTTCTGTCCCTAGCACCCATATAGAAGCTGACAATCATCTGTAACTCCAGTTCTAAGGGATCCACGACCCGCTTCTAGCCTCAGCAGGCACATGATGTCCATACATTCATGCAGGCAAAACACACAGACACAGAAGATAAAAATAAATATTTTTAGGAAGACTTATTATGGGGTTTCTGTAATATATTGCTTTAACCAGAAAGAAACCACCCAGGTGTCCTCTACACCCAAGATTTTAGTTGAGGAACTTGGTGGACACACTTAAAAGCTAGATAGTGGAGGACTTTGGACACATGCCGGAAGTACTAACCTGAGCCTAAGTCTTGGTTCAGCCTTATGATGTTTGCACTCCTGTGACACTCTTTGCAGCTCTTCCTCAGATTTATGTATATGGGATGAACTTAGAATAAGAAGCAGAGAGAAGCTTAGCATGGTGATCCTGGAGAAGGAACTGGATTATAGAGAACGTTGACGTACTGCTCTAGCATTTCCTAGAGACTGAGCATGTTCTGTGTGCTTTTTCATAACTGACTTCTGAACATTCTGAAAAAGGTTCAGAAAACAGAAGTGGGGGATAGTGAGCTTTACAAAACAGAACTAATTTGAAATGTACAAAAACTAGCTTTCTTAAACAAGAGCACTGGGCTAGGAAGTGAGAAGTATGAGTGATTTCTGCTTTGGCTGTGAGCTGGGAACAAGCACCATCAAGTCTCTGTGTGAAGCCCATGTTCCCCATACACACCTCCAGCATTCCAGGAGCAGTTGGTAATGTGTACAAAAACACCAATATAAGCTGGCATGGTGGCACTGGCTTTTAATTCCAGGACTAGAGAGGCAGAAGAATCATTAATTCTAAGCCAGCTTTGTCTCACATAAGTAAAAAATGTGACAAACAGCTCCACCAACAAAAAATCCCCCCCCACACCAAATGACAATACAAGCAAATAAATAGAATTATTTTCCCCCATGTTTAGGCTTCTAGTCAACTAAACTTTGCGTTTTCATTGTTTTGAAAGCTTTTTATGTAGTGTAATTCTTCAATCTACATTTCAGAAGAGGATAATATCAAGTTGGCTAATTCAGGTTGTGTTCAAAGTCTCCAGGTTTAGAACAAAGTCTTCTGATACGGGCATTTGTCCACTCTAACTCCCGGGATACAAAGGGATCTCTTAGTCCCTGAAAACACATGTCCCTGTCATTGCAGAACCCGCAGGCATCACTGCCTGGATAAAGATAGTCAAGATATTTTTTTCTCCATTGGCTTATGAAAAAAAACTCATACCATATTATGTTTTTTTTTCTCCCCTGCACTAGCTTCTGTAGGATTTATGAATTTCACCTAGCAGTGCGTGTGTGTGTGTGTGTGTGTGTGTGTGTGTGTGTGTGTGTGTGTGTGTTGAGTTTTGATACCTATCTCTTTGTGTGTTAGTGAGCAGGGTAGAAAAATGCAAACAACAGACTAACAGAAGAGAAAATATCTCATGAATAGTCTTAGACACATTTAATATTGTTGATGATATTCTGTGATAAAATGGAACCATAGGATCAGGATTTATATATTTATTTGCTTACTAAATTGGCTTCATGTTCTGGTAGGCAAATTAAATGTAATTTAGCTTCTAAGGATTTTGAGCATATTCTTGTTTGGTGTTTGTTTTATTTTATATTTCTATTTATTGATGTATTTTAGGTATTTTTTGTTTGTTTGAGAGAAGGTCTCCTGAAAGTCATGTTGACCTCAAACTAGCTTTTCAGCTAAGAATGACCTTGAACTCCTGATTCTTTTGTCTTTACCTCCCAGGTGCTGGATTACTGGCAAGCACCACAACATCTGGCCTATTTTATATTTTTGAAGAGAAAATAAATTGGCTGGATCCGAGATTTGCTCAGAAAACTTTAATAACTGAGCTTCACCGTAGCCTTCTCCTAGAGAGACTGGCCCCTCCTGGCCTTAGCTTAGGCTGAGCCAGAAGAGGCTGGATATGAGGGTTAGATTTCTTCTAAATGTGGGTTTCAGAACAGATAATTTAAAATATATATTTTGGCTGACAGTTTGGTATCCCAGTCATCCCTTTCCAAGGCGGGGATGACTTTCTTTCTGTACAGTATATTGTTCTTTCTGCGGGTGTATAAGCCTAGATGCTGAGGGCTGGCCACATTGCTTTGCACCAAAACAACTTTTGATAGGCACTTGTTTCTTGTGTGTATAATTAAATCATAATGTAAAGATGATTGGTTTATTCATTTTTTTAAAAAAGACCCAGTTAGTAAAAAAATAGGAAAAGGGGGGAAGCATGAAAATAAGATGACTTTATGTTTTTAAGATGAAACCTCCAAATAGGTATTTAACGGAAAACATTTAATTTTTCCCCCTTTATTTGCATTTGTAGTGTGCAGAAAAACAAGACAGCCTCATCGCACTGGAGTTAACAGAAGCCATCCTTGGAAATGTCTTCACTGATATGGCTCCATCTGTATTTCAAACACCTCAACTTCACACCATCACACAGTGAGTGAAGAAGACCCAGGATTCAGTCAAATTCATCCTTCTGAAAAACTGCAAATGAGGATACTATTGATTAAAGTCGACTGTTGTCTACGTGAATCACCCAGATTAAAATCTAAATTTCAAGAAAATGGGCTGCGAAGGATGCGGTTGGGCGTCCGACAAACCCTCAGCTGAACTATAAAGCTGGGACTGAGCCTTCCCAAATCTTTTCTAGGCAAGAGGTCCCAACAGTCCGCGTGGGGCTCGTGTGCTTCTTAAGAGTGGCTAGAGAGTCCCCATCCCCCAAGCCCAGACGCACTAGGAGCCGGGTGAACCATTCTGGGCTGTCAAAACACAAGGCGCCGTGCTCAATCCCAATAACTCGAGTGATGATTAATGAGCGGCTTGATCATTTAATATCTCATGTGATTAAATTATAAGGCGTGGGGGAGGGGAGCTCCGCACACTCCCGACCGGTGGGGGACACGGATCAGCCAGCGAGTACCGGCAGCGCTCGAGCGGTGCACTCCTGCTTCGAACATCGCCTGGTGTGGCTCCGCCACCGTGGGTCGGCGCCTTCTCAAGGTCAGTGGGTCTAGGGAGGGGAGGGAGGAGGAACTCAGGTGGGGGAAGGGGTCGCTTGCCATGGGGAGGGGAGTTGTGGACACTCTACAGCGTAGGTCAAAGCCGCCCACTCTTCCCGCCGCAAAGTAGCTGGTTGCAGGAAAACAGCCTTAGGCAGGGGACTGTCAGATCTTAAATCTCCTTCCCTTTGCAGCAGTCTAGGGTGTTTCTGGGGCTACAACGTCCCCGGAAAGAAGGGACGCGGGCCCTGGAGCTCTGGGTCTCCACCTGCCCCGGCCGCCACGCACTTGGACTGTGAGTGGTTTTTCCTGTACACAGGCCTGGTGACCGTCGGGTGGGAGCACCCAAAGCCACTCTTCCTGAGCCGGCAGACCCTCGCCCAGTCCAGTGCCGGGTGGGGTTATTTATCATCAGCCCGGTGTTCAATCCGGAAAGTGTGTGCAACCGCCCCAACGTACGGAGGTGTAGGGACGGGCAGAGACTCCAGCAAAACTATGACTGGGGGTTCCTAATTGTTTGGGGAAACGGAGCAGAAATCGTGGGGGAAACGGGCTCCTTCGGTTTTTAAAAGAGGTTCAGCTGAGATTCGGGTGTGACTACCACTTACCTCCGAAGAAGAGCGAGCGAAGAGCCGCGGCGCTAAGTAAAAGGGCGGGGGCTGTCCCTGGGCCCAGCCTGCAGCTACGTGGTTCCGCCTGGGAAGGCAGGTAGCTAGTGGCCTTTGCAATTCATCCAAGCTGTGTGTCCGCGCTGCTGGGGACAGCAGCCTCAGAGGGGTCCTGAGAGACAGCCGGTGGGACATTTTATCATCATATTTTAGGCTTTACTATTCAGCCAGCGGTGGGCAGGCTCCCTGGAGCAGACCCTAAGAAACTGCACCCCAGAGATTTGTTAAGCGCCAAAGTAGAAAGGTAAAAATTAAAGCACTGTATCCAGAGCTGCAGAGGGCCTCTAACTATGCTGAATTTTCAGCCCAGAAATGGTATCGGGGGTGGGGTGGGGGGAACCGCGGGTGGAAACCAAGATAGCTCCTTTCATTCAAGCCTGGAGAAGGGCGAGATACTGGGAATAGCACATTGCTGTCCCGGTGCTTTGGGCCTCAGATGCGGTGGCTGCATCTTTCTCCTTCAGGGAAAAAATCGGAAGCTTTCTAGGGCAGCTCCTTGGACATAGAAAAATTACACCACCATGCCCGCACCTAATTTCTTTGAGCAGTTGAAAATAGCACCAAGGAGGGGAGAAAATCACTAATAACCAAACACGCCTGTAAATAGAAGTCACAATATAGAAAAGTGTGCATATGCATGTATGTATATGTACGTCTCTCTTACTGTGCGTGCACGTGTTTATACAACACATTATATATACTTAAAGAAAATGAAAAGAAACCTACCCATCTGGAGCGGAAGCAAGCCCTCTGCACTGGTGTTAAGAGAGTTGGCCTGAAATGCCTCCAAGTTAACAGATGTAGACTTTGACTACAATTTCAGGATATTCTTCCTTAGGGAAGAAAAATTCTGAAGGGGGGAGGGGTGGAAGGGGAAGCCAGGAAGCTGCTTTGGTCCTTGGGCTTAAGTGGCTTAAAACCTAGATGCATCTTCCTTCCAAGGCCGCTCCTTCTTCTGCCCCGGCTCAGGCTCTAAAGAGGCCACTCCCCTCAAGGTGTGTTCGCAATAATTAAGGAGGGTTTATGGTCAACGCTGTTGCCTCAGTAGATAAGGCAGAATGCCGAAGAAAGGCAGGCCCAGAATATTGCCTTTGTTTGACTCTGGGGGAATGACACACCCTAACGCCAACAAGTAGTTTCCAGCCTGTCAATTTTGTTCCAGTTCCTGAACCCCTTCCTTCCATTTGTTTCGTGTTGGTGCTTTTTTTCCCCGTTATTCCTATATCAGGTTTTATGGGAAACAGTGGCTTGAACCTACAGAGAATAATTTTCTAAAGTCCGGTGCCCGCCTTTCTCTACCTACAAGACTATTGCGCACTATTGAGTAATTAAGCCAGTGCCTGGTGGAAGCCAGGCCTTTCCCAGGAACTAATGGGGGCTGGGGGAGACTCAGCAGGGAGAGGCCTAGAGCCCTAGACAGAACCTGCCTTGGAAAGAACTACTCTGTGTTTCCAATATTAACTTGGGGCAGGGCGGTGGAAACATGGCCAAACTGGGTTTTATTTCCCAGGTTATCTGCTGACTCAAGGATGCCGAGATAAACTAAGGATTCCTAAAGTTTCGAAAGGAGAGTTAGTTAGTTTTATTCTCTTATCCCCAAGATCATTTTCAGTTTGATGATGTTTGAGATCTACCCTTTGAGATCTGCAGCACAGCTGTCCAAGTCGGTGGTGCAATCGGCGGCGGCATTGTTCTGCAGGACTTGCAGGTACGCATCTAGAGGGACCTTTTCTTCCACCGGAGCGCGAGGTGGTGTGCATTGATTTCACCCCTCACTCTCCGCCCTGCTGCCCAACATCATTTAGGCCAAGATCGGGTATAATGGAAAACACCATCAGCAGACAATTACCCTTTCAGAGGATTCACTTCTCCTCGCAGACACTGTTATTTGAGAAATAGGATCATTTGATTTCATATTGCACTAAATAACACCCAGCCGGTTCAAATTGCCAGCTTCTTAAAAACCGCCCATTGGAATAAATTGCAATGGCCTCTTTTGCTTTTCAGGCCAATACTGTGGGTACCCGGCAGAAGTTACAAAAATAACTATAAAGCCAACCCTGAGCAGTCGACACCGTGGTCCCCCGCCCCACCCCCACGCCCAAATTTGAGATGGCTCTGCCACTTGACTTTGGAATTAAAATGCACAGTTTCAGTCACCCAGGAAGCGCTTCGAACCACAAAGTGCATTAGTGTTCATCAGAGGAAGATGGTGTGGTGCAGAAGACAACCAGTTCTGTATATCCTGCTTGGTTGCCTTGCATCGTTAGCGTGCTTGAGAACTGTTGTAGTTCTGGGCTTTACTACCCCGCCTGCGCCTTTCCGGTTCCCCAGGTCTCTCATTCCCAGAGCCAAGTGCCACCACTGCGGGTACCGCGGGTACAACCGCATGTCCTCTAGCACTGCTCCTTCTTCCCTCGCAGTTAGAGCCAGTTGGGGATCTACGACCCCAAGAGTCCGCCTAGATGGCAGAGGGGTAAGCTGCATTGGGGCATCAGCGCCTAGCGGAGTGGGAGAGCCGAGAAGACCAGAAGCCCGCAGAGAACGTCAGTTCACTGCGCACGCACCACCCCAGACATTTTAGGAAATATTAAGCCCTCTGAAGTTGACCATTTTGCTATGGTTTAATTGACACTGTTCAACTGAGTGGCAATTGTTCTGCTGGTGGGGGTGATCCATCCCCGCCCCATGCGCTTATTAAAAATGGGTCCTTGGTCCTTGGCTCCTTCATGCCAAGAGATAGAGTGTGTTTAAGACACACAAAGTTTTGGCAAATCTGTCCTTTGGAGCCTTTCTTTGTTAGATTTATGTTTATATGCTTCAGGAAGGTGGATTAGATTTTTTTTTTCTCTCCTAGATAAACTGAAGGCAGGATCCCGGAGCTCTCCCTGTGCACCCCCATTGCCCGCAGGAGCAAGAAGGAGCCTTTTGCAGGCCAGTTAGAAAAGGCCCTTAGTGACCTGCTGGAGAGACTTTCCTTTTTGGTGGAAATGGGAGGAGTCAGGGAGAAGGGAGTTGTGGGCCCTTCGGGACTGTTCAGGAGTATTTAGTTCCTCCCTGCTGGGCAGGCGCTTGGGGCAGGGTTGGTGGTAACTGGGAAAACGTGGGCTGTCTAAGATTCGTAAGATGGGTTGTTGGGAGAGCAGAGGACTTCACTGTGCTCTCATTCTGCACTTGGCCTTGTCCTGAGAACCCTTAGCCTCGCTTCTCCATAGCATTCTGTCAGGTCACTTTTCTTGCTCATCAATAAAAGTCTACCCAGGAGGCCCATGGTACCCAAATAAAAATCTGGGCAATTAGCCTTGGATGCTGCCTTCTGGAACTGGAAAGAAAACCGTGGGGCTCAGTTTCCCACGCCACCAGATCTGGCCTTGCGGTATCCGGATCCAAGGCAGGCCTGGGACTGACCAATCGATCCCAGGGAGAGTTCTGGCGCCTGCTCTTTACCATCGTTAACACTAAGACGGTCGTGCAAGTCCTGGTGCCTCACTTCGCCCACCCCAATAGCCTCCTGGCCGGCCATCCTCAATTGGAGTAACCCCTTTCAACTCCCCATCTCTTCTGGGTGGACTACACAACCCAAGAACAATTTTTTTCCCCAAAGTGCTAAGGCCACAAGGACAGTTTTCCTAAGAGAGGCTGGAACACAGAGATTAAATTCCGAGGTTCAGGAAAAGCGGTCTTAAGGAGATCCAAAGTTCACTGCCTGTGCAAACCGAACCTCAGAGCTTGTGTTGGAACAGCTGCGTGCGGCCGCTGGCACAGGCTGCTGGGCATCGGACTGCTCCCCGGGGGACCTGGAGGAGACTCCTGGGAGGGTGTGGAAGGACCTTTCTCTCCACACATGCCTTTGACACTCTCCTCCCACGCCGGAGTCCAGAGAATGTGAATTAGGGTCGACCTGCGACACCAGCTGGGGAAGTCGTGTCCGCCCTGTCCAGGCCTGCGAGCCTAGGTGAGGGCAGTGGGACAGCTGTCGCGGCTCCAGTTGCTTTGGGGAGTGGCTAAGTAGGTCAGCCCCTTTGCCCACTATTATCGCCACCCCCCCCCGCCCCGCGCGGTCGCTCGCGTGTCAGGGCCGGTCCCCGTGCCACCCTCACTCGCGCGTCGTCCCTCCAAGTCGCAGCATTTACCAGCGCGTTTTGTCCCGCAGTTGGATTCCAGGCTGAGGGGCTGTAACCGTGCTCTCCTCCGACGGACGCTAATCAAGTAATTTCCCCATCCCAGTCCCATCAAATTGCTCTTTAGCTGTTGAACCACGGAGTTTTGCTCGTCTTTTCACATGCTAATCACGCCCATTCAACGGCTCTCGGTGGGGCTGTTTGTCGCGGGATAAATCTCCTTGTTTGCCCGCTGCATGATTAATTGATATTGTTGTCTGGCTTTTGTGGGGACCGCTAGGAGCTGAAAGGCGACGCATCGTGGCTGCGCCGGGGGCCGCTGGCGACATCTTCGGGCTGCGGAGGTCCCCGCAAGGTCGGGCCAGGGCTGATGACATTATGCGCCCGATTTGGTTTTCCTTATTAGAACGATGATGAAAGACTTGGAGATCCCAGTCTTTACAGCCCACCACCGGGGCGCAGAAACCACACAGCGTTTAAGCCACAAGCGCAGACAAAGCCCTGGCATTTGCTCAATTCAGGGAAACGAGTTGGGTGTCCACGCAGGAAACAATTACATCTTATTTCGGCCCACCCGGGATTTCAGTGGAGTTGAATGTGGGAGTGCCTCGTAGAGGTTTGGGTTCTCAAACAATTTTTTTTTTCAGTGTTTTTGATTGAGGGCAATAAGAGAAAACTAACAGTAAAGGGAGCCACCCTTTTGCCGGACAGTTGCAGGTAGCGGTCCGGCAAACGCCCACGCAAAGGCGCCTAGGCGCTGGATACTGTGTTTGTGGCTTTGCAGAAGGGCGCTGTTCTGTCCCTGCCTTGCCATCCACCACCAAGGTCCGCCGGGACGCGAGCATTAAGGCGCCGGTCAGTCTGCAAATTCACATTTTATTCGACAGTACTGGTGCTGTATTTTTCTGAACCTCTGGCAGATGTGTAACCAAACTTCCAAATTCCTCCGCCCCCTCTGCACCCCTCCTCTGCGCCCTGGGGTTTTATCCTCCACAGACATCCCTAAAACTTGGAGATTCAATTAAACAATTCCAGCTACGCAGAGCTCCTACGGTTTGCTTATTGCAAATATTTCCTTTTTCGAGTTCTTAAAAGAAAAAAAAAAAGCAAAGTAAAGAAAAGAAACTGTCGCCTTCGCTTTCACTGAGCGCGGGGTAATTGATAGGCGCCATCAGAGGTCAGAATTTGCATAAGAATTAAGAGCAGTAAATTAATTTAATATTCCGTGCACATCTCCAATTATTCCTGAAGACCTTTGTCTCCGCGGCTGCCAGAGAGGGGATTCAGCTGCTCTTCAACCAAACAACATCTGTGCGGTTAATAATTTGATAAACAGCTCATACAAATAGTTTCTGAATTATCTGGCTGCCCAATGACTATTCAGTTTGGAAACGTTTTGGCAGGGTCTCCTGAAGTCCTCGGAGGGGCTCAGGCTCCCGCCCGGACAAATGTCCCATCTTTTAAACATCAGCAGAAGACAATGTGTAAAATAAGTCATTATCATTGAGTAATAATCCTAACCCTCAAAAAAAAAAAAAAAAAAGACACAGCCTGGGTGTTCAGGGTTAGGGCAGGTCGTCTATTAGAGACTCTGCCTGTGATAAATAAACAGGCTAGGGGTTGGATAGAGTGAAGACATACTGTGTGTGTAGGAAAGATGGGGTGTTGGGGAGACTGAAGAGAGGTGCAGGATGCTTCGTTTAACCTTTTTACAGTTGAATGACTGGACTTGTACATTAAAAAAATACTCAAGGATTTTTGGGGGGATGATGGACTAGAAAACCAAGGTGTCGGGAGAAGCAGATGGAGACTAATTTTCCACTATGTTCCTTCTGGTATCTTTTATTTTTCTCTCTACAGACAAGTGTCATTTATTTTTTAAAAAAAATGCATACCAAAGTTTGAGGACTGGAAAGTAAGTTATGTTGGCTCCTCTGGGCTTTGATGGATTTGTCTCTGGTTTGTCCCTATGCTCCTCTTTGGACACACCCCCTCCTTCCCACCATGATTCACCCACCAGTATCATGAAAACAGCTTCTCACAAAGCCCAGGTATGTACAAGACAGATGGAGAGGGCCCCCCGGCAAAGCTTCGAGTTGGCCCAGCTAGAGAAACAGCCATAATAAGATGATGCCGTCCTATGTCAAACCCGGCCTGAATTTAGACACTAACCCCTCACTGTTACACTGAAGATGTCATGGCTGTCATTATGTCCTATTATCTTCCTGCCACCCTTAGCAAAGCCTCTTCCTGATACAAAGTCTAGAAAGGAACCATTTGATCTTGAATGAGACTCAGACTGCTCTAATTCCTGCAACCTGTGCATTGCGGCTGTTTACTGCGAATCTGCATTTACCCTGGAATTGTTCTGCAGTGACTTCAATCTAACAGGGTGTTCCACAAGAGTCTTTATCTCTGTCTATACATTTCCATATGTTTGATGTACACACCTCATACATTCAGTATTCCACTTTCTATTTCCCACACTGCTGACAATCTAAGTACTTGAAGCCACTGAAAACTACCCAGAAGTTCTGAGTAGTGTCAAGGCAGTAATATGATAGACTTCTGCTCTAACGAGCCCCTGGTAGCATTGAGCTTTAAAGGCAGGCAAACCCTTCAGGCTATCGGTCTAAATACACAACTTTACAATGAATACAATACTTGCCTGGGCTCCACTGAAGAATCACTTTTCCAGAAAACAAGTCATTGTGCCACACAAATAGGACAAGAGTATCTCTTCCAGGCACATTTATTTCTGTTTTAGACATTTTTTTGTTTTGTTTTTTTGGTTTTTCGAGACAGGGTTTCTCTGTGTAGCTTTGCGCCTTTCCTGGAACTCACTTGGTAGCCCAGGCTGGCCTCGAACTCACAGAGATCCGCCTGGCTCTGCCTCCCGAGTGCTGGGATTAAAGGCGTGCGCCACCACCGCCCGGCCAACATTTTTCTCTTACATTTCATTAGGTTTCTCTACACAACTGTAGATACAGTGGGGTCTTGCAGGCTTTTATATGCATATATAAATCATCTCTGTTCTTTATAATGGGGGGTATCTGCCTATATCTTTTTATTAATTTCTGACTTTGATTCAGACTTCTCTAGTCACCCAGAGTGACTTGAAAACATTTCTTTTCTTAAATGGAGCATTACCAATTCTTTGGGGAGCCATTCTAATTTTAAATACCAACATATTCAAATGCGTAATCTCCAGCTCTGATGCTACTCATTTTTATGCTCACAACCTACCCACTTTGGATTCTTTTAAACTCCATATTTATCTTCCTTACATGTGTTTGACTAATTTTTTTTTTTTAAAGCAGTGTGGGCAGAAAAATGGTTAGTAAAGAAGGCAGATGACTGATTATATTTTTGACTCTGTAAATAAAGACACTAAACATGAAAAGTTGGGATTCTTTTCCTACTAATGAAATCCTGTTCAGAAAAGCTTTCTGGACACCATTGAAGTTAGTGAGTTTGGAAAGCCTGTCCCCATAAATGCTTGGCTCTTTGGCGATGAAACACATATTGCCAACTGTCTGCTGATGTAGCTATATCTTTGGAGGTTTGAGTAGAACCAGAACTTGGTCCAGTATGTTTGCAGGTAACCAACTTCCTCCGTAGAGTTCCAGTCAGAGGTAACTCTTCTTCCTCATGTTCATGAGCACTTGAACATATTGGGGCTGTTGCAATGAGTGATATTCGGTGACTTAAAGGAGAAAACTCTTGGGGTTGACAAGATAACTCAGCAGATAAAGGCACTTGCCACCAAGCCTGACCACCTGAGTTCCAATCCCCAAACCACATGTGAGAGAAAGAGAGAAGTGACTCCCATAAATTGTCCTCTGACCTCCACACAAATGCCATGGCACACATGCTCTCTTTGTCTCTTCCTCTAAATGAATGAATGAGTGGATGAGTATAGTTTAAAATAAAAAAAAAATTTAAAAAGCACAAATTTGATAATTTCTTACCAAAGTTGGAAAAGGAAATACGTGAGTATGTCTTGGGGAAAATTTAATGGCCAGGAGGCCAAATGATGATTTAAAGATTCAGTGTGTTCTTTATTTAGATAAAAGATGTCCCCCCATTCCTGGGAAGCAAACCTAGGCTCTTTAAGATACACTCCACTAGGATTTCTTTCTTTCTTTTTTTTGAAAGCTACAAATAGTGTATAATCATGAAATTCTTCTTATAAACAAATTCTTCTAAATACTTCTGTTGGCATGAGTAAACACAATTTTTATATATCTGGTCAGCTTAACACTCAAAATTTATAAAACTTTGAATCTGAAAAATGTAGACATACAGAAAAGTTATGAACAGGATCACCTAACTAAAGTGGTCTGTTCTCATTGTCTCCTATTTTCATACCTAAATGAACTGTGTTAGCTACATAAATTCTCCACCTGTGATACTGGTTCAAAAGGATGTATCTTTGTGGGCTTTGGATGTTTGGAAACCACAGAAGCAAGCCTGGGTTCTCCAGAGATGATTATCAAAAGTTTCTGGTCACCAAGGATATCTGTTAGATCCCTGGTTCTTTCCCATTCTATCCTGGCCAGGATTGTATTTAGGCAGATCCATCTTTACTCTTCAGGGGCTCGCTTCACATCACTGTGACTGTAGCTTTGTAAACTTGTTAGCAAAGGTTCTGCATAAGTCAATAGAGCTCTTTGGTGAAGGGGTACCATTGAAAGAATCTATGCCAAGAACCAAGGCCAACATGGTTCTGCTTAAAAGGAAGAATCATGGGTAATAGGCATCTTTGAGTTTCCTTTGTTGCTTGAGTTGCTCTGAAAGTCTGATCCAGTAAACCTGACCCAAGAGGGAGTTCAGGAGCATGTTCTGCTTTACTGACTCTGTGATGAGGGGAGAGAGATCCGCCTAATACCAGATCCACCAACATGGCGTTTGAGACTTTCTATAGCAGGCCTGGAATCAAAGTGAAATACAAAGGAAAAGTTGTGGGCAGAGAAGCTCATGGTTCTACTTGCTCACTCACTAACTGCAGGCACTTGAGTAATTGCCTAATTTCCTATGTCACAGACTACAAGTCTGCCACTTTTTACCATTTATTTTCTTCTTGTAGTATATACATGGCTGTCCAGCTGAACTGCATAGCTTAGTGTCCTTTGCAGCTATATATGGCCCAGGAAACTATGTTCTCACCAATGAGACATAAGCAGATTGGTGTGCATACTTGTTATCTCATGTTTATCTCTCTTTCTTCTCACTGTCTGGGAATGACATAATAGAAACTCTGGGATCCCATGTGCTGTCTTCCTGGATCAGAGTCATCTCTTTTACTCTGGAATATTATGTGAAGAGAAAGGAATTTCTATTTTGATTTTAAACTTTCATAGTTTTATGGCATATATTCAGAGCAATCTTCTTCCTAGCTTTGGCCTTCTTCTTCTTCTTCTTCTTCTTCTTCTTCTTCTTCTTCTTCTTCTTCTTCTTCTTCTTCTTCTTCTTCTTCTTCTTCTCCTTCTTCTCCTCCTCTTTCTTCTTCTTCTTCTTTTTCTTGTTTTTGAGACAGGGTTTCTCTGTGTTGTTTTGGTACCTGTCCTGGATCTCGCTCTGTAAATCAGGCTGGCCTCGAACTCACAGAGATCTGCCTGGCTCTGCCTCCCAACTGCTGGTACCAAAGGTGTGCGCCACCACCGCCCGGCTTAGCTTTGGTTTTCTTAACCAGGGAATGAGAATATATTGGTTCTGATTTCTTCAAAAGCAAGCATTGTTGTAGAAGGTGAGCCCAGAAAACAGCATGGGAAGAAAGGCAACTTTCTGGTATCAGGAAAAAGGAATTCCATTGCAGTGTGTTATAAAGCAAATTATGGGCAACTAGACTTTAATTCTTTGGAAGACTAGGGAGATTGTGAGCCCATATGAGTTGGAGTGTGTATGCTCCAATCACCCTCTGTCATTAGCTGAAGGCTATTCTTTGTGAGGATGACTTCCCCAACAAGATTAGCTACAGAAGGGGAAACCAAGGTGCTGGTGGTTGGCCACTGAACTGCTACACACTAAGGTAGAAAAGTGAAGGACTGCAGACAGGACACTGTATAGCACCTACCACAGAGGACTTTGGATAGATGTTCTTAAGATCTGCTTCCTGTATTAAAGTTATTTGGGTTCAACATTAATGTGTATTCTTCTAGCTGCCAATCTGAAATGCCTCCTCCAGATGGACTGGTTTGCAAACTTAAGAGTTTCTCATATGAGTTTGTTCTTATTTTTATTCTCTCTTTTCATGGGAAATCAGTTACTTACTCTTGAATTGCCTTTATTAATGCTGAATCACTTGTCTATTGCTTTCTAACCAACCACTGTGACTTCATGGATTAAAGTAATACTTTCTGTGGGTCAGGAATCTAGGCAGAACTTGCTGGGCATTTCTTCATGGAGGGTCGGTGTTTGTGTAGAAATTCCAAGATGACCTCTTATTCCCCAGAGCCTATATTCATATGGCTTCTAATTATCCTATGGCCTAACAGAGACATCTCACCTGCACAGCAACTAGATTGGAAGGGAAAGGCAGTGGGAAATGAAGGTCTTTTAAAGGCCCAGACAGTCCAAGGTCCAGAAAATGTTACTCTGGTCTCATTCTTTAGGTCAAAACAGTCAAAAAGGTGGTCTAGGTCAAAGAGAAATTGGCTCCCCTCCCTGATGAGAGGAGTTTCATGAGATGGGAGGAATGTGGGTACTGTCCACCTTGCCCATGCACCCCTCTTTCCACTTATCCCAATCCCTAGGACACATTTCTATTCTGCATCATATAGGAAGTCCATAATGCTAGTCCACAAAGGTCTTCTAGTCCTTGTTCCCACCCAAACTGTTAAGGTATTTATCAGCTGTGCTTATTGAGTCTTCCTTAGTTATTTATTGTCTTGTGAAATTCTTTGTCACAACTTACTGTTGATCTTCCAGGACAGAAAATGGAGGTTAGCGTTCCAAGGATACTTTGAACAGTTAGAATCACATGGTTAGAATCAGATTCTTCATGAACATTTGTACACATACAAAGGACACAACGTGAGAGCCAGGCAGAGAGAGTGTATTAACATCTAGAGCAGTAAAACTCATTTCTAGTATCTTATTCCAGAGTATTCAACTACATTCTAAAATTAGGTATTTTAAAAAATCCTCCTGGCATAAATGAGACCTGGATGACACATGTAAATCTACATGTAGAAATGCTTGTGAATGGAACGGATCACCTGGAAGGCCCAAACTTCTTCCCAGATACTAGCAGCCCCACCATGATGTTCTATCCCCTGCTAAAGCATTAGTCTTTTAAAAAAATTTAAATAACTGTTGGAGAGAAAACTGGGTCAGGGTGCCTGGCGGTGGTGTCGCATGCCTTTAATTTCAGCACCTGGGAGGCAGAGGCAAGCAGATCTCTGTGAGTTCAAGGCCAACCTGGTCTACAGAGTGAGTTTCAGGACAGGCTCCAAAGCTACACAGAGAAACCCTGTCTCAAAAAAAAAAAAAAAAAAAAATGGGTCAAGGAGGGTATAACTTTAAATATCTGTGTCTTAGTGTTAATTAACTGATGAGAACAATGTTTCCCTTTCTCTTACAGAAGAAAGCAGAGCCAGATCAATGTTCTGGAAGATCACAGGTTACTGGTGCTAAGGAATGGAGAACTGAGAATGAGGTATTCCCATGGACGACTCATCTCCCTTCATTTCAGTCTGGTTAGGAGACATACCAAATTATTTATTATCCTGGACAGTAGAAAGTAACACCTAAGCCCATGGGAAGCAGAGAAACACAGAAATAAGAACCTAGGGAAGATTTCAGAACAAATGAAGACGATTGTGTGGCTTGGCAGTCAGTTGATGGATATCCCTCAAGTCTCTGGACTCTAGTCTCCTATGCTGTGATTCAATTCTTAACCATGAGGTTTCCAAAGACAGAGTAAGCCTGTGGGAAAAAGGGCCATCATGTCCCTAGGATGTATGCAGGGCTTCTCTCCCACCTCTTTCTTTCACACATTCTTTCTTTCTTTCTTTCTTTCTTTCTTTCTTTCTTTCTTTCTTTCTTTCTTTCTTTCTTTCTTTCTTTCCTTCTCTCTTTCCTTCTCTCTCTCTTTCCTTCTCTCTCTCTCTCTCTCTCTCTCTCTCTCCCTTCCTTCCTTTCCTCCTCCTCCTCCTCTTTTTGGTACAATCACCAAAGGAAGATCTGCAGACTACTGGGATGACCAAAGGTGCCAAAGATTGACAAGCCCTCCTCAGTTGATCCTACTGACTAGGGGTGGGAATGTTTATGTAGTTCCTTGACCATGATCTTCCTGCTAATTCCACCCCACTTCCTAAGTAAATGGCTTGAACAATCATTTTATATTGAAAATTTACTGGATCAACCAAAGAGGCATTGCTTGAGCTAATCCCCTGGCTAAGAGTATCAGCTGAGTCAAAGATGTTGCCTCTGATACACTCATCATCACAGCTAGCACCATTTTGTGCATTGATATCTGGTGTGCAGAAAATGTGCTGTTTGGGGTTCTTGGAAGTTTGTAGTGGATTCTCTGCTCTAAGGAGGTAGAATGGAATAGGGTCTACCAAGGATCACATCCAGGTTTAAATTGTTCTGTCTCTAGCTGTGTGATATTGAGTACACTGGAAAACCTCTAGTAGATGGGTGAAGACATTTCCTCATCTGAAAAGTGAGGGTAGCCACACTCAACTCACAGGATCATTGAGAGTAATATATAAGCAAATATACACTGTTTCTAGGCACAAAACTGTATTTAATAAATGACTTTGAAAACAAGGGTCTTTTTTGTTACTTTCTGATCATTTCGCTACATTACTGTGCTTGCAGTCTGTGTGTATACAGGTCCCACGAGTAGAATTGAAAGTAGGTACCTGAGGCTCCCAAAGATAGAAAAGAAAACCAGAGTAGGCAGCCTTAGTGGCCAGCCAGGTAATTGAGGAGAAACTTTGGTGCCAAAGTGAGGGGATTCATAAAGCAGATGAAACACTTAAACCATAACAGAGAAGAATTCTGTTTCCTGATCGAAATAACAATCCTGGTATAAAGTCTGGAGCTGTCCCTTTTGCCTAGAACATTCACTTACATATGACTGAGCACTCTTCCTGCTACATCATTCATTACCCTCTAAGATGATCAAAGAAACCCTTCCCTGTGGATAATCCTGTCTTTTGAGTCACCATTTTTTGTAATTCTCCGAGTCCTTCCCACACTGACGTTTGCTCCTCACTGGGAAACTCTGCAAACACTCCCTCTTGTTCCGTCATTATCCCTGGACCAAACTCCTCCTCTGTGCGATCATCCCTCCAGAAACACATTGTGAGTAATCCTTCCTAACATCTCCTCTTCCAAAGGCTATTTGTTGGCTGATGACACTACAGAATTTGCAGTGTGCTTAAATGCCAGCGAAGCAAACATCTCTCCATTGACTCCAATTTACCTGAAGCACTCCGACGAGGGTGCCTTTGTTTGTCCTTTTCAGTTAGCCATTTGTCAGAAAGCCAGGCCTGAGATATTTCAGAAAGGACAAAAGGAACTCCATCTCTTTACAAAACTCTCAAAAAATTGGAGAGGGGGAAAATGTGGCTGGAGAAAATTAATTTTAAAAAGATAAATAACACACTTATCTGGAGAACTGCAAGAAATGAATGCGCTCAGAGATGTAACCTTTCGGAGGGTAGTTATATTCTTGAGTGTCATTTTGATCATTACTGCATGTGTCCATTTCCAAGGACGGGTACTTCCAGGAAAAGTAGAGACCAATGTCTTGGAATTTGCTTTTCTGTGTTGCTTCTGTGGAAAACTCAGAGCTGGTCTGGATAGCAGTTAGAAATGTAAGAGCAACAGCCCCTTATATACTAGTGGCTTGAGGTGATGCAAGTGTTTGGCAGTCGTTAAAGCTCTAACTAGTATTCATAAAAATGAAAGAAAGTTGTTGCTTCTCAACATGATTATGAAGTTCTGTCCTTAGTCACCAACGGAGAAAAGGGAAATCAAGTGTTCTTGCTGAATGCACTCAGAAGCTATGGCTTTATCTCTACTTTTGGAGGTAAAGGGTTTGCACAATCTCTTCACTGAGTTTTTAATCGAGTTGCTATTCCACTCTTCCTTTTATGGAGCCATAGAAGTGTCTGTAATGAAAGATTAAAATGGTCCTGTGCAGTGGTTTGCAGTGGCTCTGCCCAAATAAAATATGACAGCTCTCTCGTAGGGCCTATATGCAAGCAGAGGCAGCTTGGGAGCAGGCTGCATTAGACTCTCTGCCGTGCATACTGATTGCAGATTGTATGGGTTTCCTGAATGCCATAAAGGGGGGGGGAGTGGGGGCAGGGGAGAGAGAGAGAGAGAGAGAGAGAGAGAGAGAGAGAGAGAGAGGAGAATTTCTTTTTGTAAAATTACTGTGGTCCTCATATACAGCAAGAAATTGAGCAAAGATGTTTCTATTTCCTGTAGTAGAGGTAACACACACACACACACACACACACACACACACACACACACACACACTGACAGGCTAATGGCTACTTTCCCAAAGAGTGGTAGAAAGAAGTAGTAAATGGGACTGTGTTGATGCCAGGAGAAGACCCGGGCAAAGATCAAGATACCCAGCAACATATCGGATAACACATAATTGGCGGGTCACAGCCAAATGAGTGTAGTCACGCATCTCTGGGCAGGCCTTTGCTGGCGATAAAGACACTTGTAAACAATTCAGTCCCAGAACATGGCAATAATATGTTGATCCAGCGTGTAATGAGGTGTTCCTGGAATCAATAAGCAGTCATGGAGAGCAGGGAGCAAGGGCAGCGGCTGGCTTTTTGATGACCTTTTCTCACCGCCAAGGACCCCATCTCCCCTGAAGAGGACTTTTCTCATTTTGCAGCAAGCTCCGAGTGTCAGAACTTCCATTCGCAGCCAGCAAATGAACAGCCAGGCCCTGCATGCTAATGAAGTCCAGGCTATTTTGCACCTTTTCATCCGCACATTATGCTCTTGACTCTGGAGAAGGTGGGAATTAGGCCGGACCCCGGTGTCAGACTGCCTGATGGCTCGGCTCCGGAAAACTGGTAATTGAAGCTGATGACTGATGCGAGGGAGGCCTGAATTTGGAAATAAACAGTTTCAAGCACTGCATGTCATTTCTAGAGAGACTGCCGAGAGAATGGAAATGAGCTCCTTTTCTTGAATCTAATGCAGTTTCTCAGCAGGAAAAACAACGTCTTTTAGACAACAATGCCAGTCATTAAGATTTAAATGTTCTGGCGATAATAGACGTACTGGCCTCGGTGTTCACAAACAGCACTTATGTAAATGTCTTTCAACACCCAGATCTACATTTAATCCACGCCCAAGAAGATAACTGTGTGGGAAAGCGGAAGCAAATGCAACCAGGAGTCTATAAATATCTTTCATAAGGAGAGAGAGGGAACAAACAAACAAAAACCGCTGGCCAGCACCTCATCACATGGTTGCACCAGAAGCTGCACTCTACCTGGTCATTTTCTACACATTGTGTTCTCTTTCAAACGACATCCCAACCCTTTCATGTGCAAAGTCACCCATATTTTCCAACTATCCACAGCACCCATGCTATGGGCTCTCCCAGCTTAAGGTTGCAAAAGCTTGAAGCTGGACTCCTTTGCTTGCAATTTTTAGAAAGACATTCCCTCATCAGTGAGTTCTTCTAATATCACCAGACTGTCACGATACCCAGGCAAACATGGCGAATCACTGTGGTCGATCTTATCCCGCAGCCGAGATGAATTGGACGTTGCTGTATGCAAAAAAGAAAGGCTTGTAACCTGAGCACAGGCTGGTGTGTTTTAAGAGGCCTTAAAAATCATCTTTACTAGACATGGCGCCAGCCCAGCTCTTCCTGTGTAGGTAAAACACCTTCAGGGGAAAAAAAAATTACGAGCTCTGAGAAGAGGAGAGCGAGGACGCTGTTATTCATGGTGGCAGGCTGTCAGGGATTCATGAATAACCATTCCTTTGCTCTTTTCGCACTGTCTTTCCCTACCAGAAGTGAGGTTTTGATATTTCAGGCCTTTTCCAATTTAATAGTGACATACAGGATTCTCACATGCAGGCTCTGGTTTGTTAGAGGCATCAAGGGTATGAGTACAACTTGAGCCTGCTTGGATGTCATTGTCACTTCAGTTTAAAGGTAGCAAACCTATCTCACAAAGGATCAACACTGAATTATTTCAACATTTCAAAAAATATAGATAAGTAATGCATTTCTAATAGCGTACTTGTGGGGTACCAGATGGATCAATGAATATTCAGCAATTCTTTGCATAAAATATATAAAACTGAAGAAGAAATAGGTTAAGTATTAAACAGGCTTGCACGCACATGTGCGCACAAGCACACACACATGCACACACACACACCACACTCACAGTCACCTGCCCTTCCTTATGACAATGGAGCTCCATTGTGACTTTATTCCCATGTCTCAGAGGCTCTCCCAAGTCATAACGGTGAAAAAGGGAGAGAATTGAGGTCACCAAAATCTGATAATGACAACTACAGGCTCTCTGAGCATGATGGGAACACATGCACTAGGAATTCAATAGTCGTATAATGATCCCTTCCATGCTCTGAGCAGCACTGATGCTTTTTTGAAAAGCTTGTGTGTACTGTACTTCATCATCG